GTTTGAGTCTTATGATGAGGGGACCCGATCTTGCCCACCGTCCAGGGGTCAGAGGTCAGGGTGCCGCCTGGCTTTGGGGGTGATGGTCACTAGAGATGGCGGCAGCCCCTGTCCTGTGTCCGTGCCGACCTTGGGCATGCGCAGCTGCGCCCCACGTAGGCCAGGAGGCCGAGGTGGCTGCCCGGCATGCGGCCCTCTGCAGGGGCTTCTGGACCCTTCTTCACGGTGTCAGCCTGAGCCCTCCAGGTGGGAGCCTGGCCCGGCCCAGGGCAGCACGCCGCCTGACCCGGGTCACGGGCAGGTGATGGAGCCGGGGCGCCGGAGCTGTGCAGAGGACCTCAGCGCTCTCTGACAGCTTGGATTGGTTCCCAGCCGCTGCCCCGGCCGCAGGCAGCCAGGGCCCATGCCCGAAAGACCTGGGCTCCTGTTTTCACCCTTGCTGTTAAACCCACGGGGAGTGACTTAGAGGAGAGGCCCTGCGTGTGTGCGGTGGCCAGCGGCGGGAGGAGACGGACCTTTGTGGTCAGAGGCCACTCCAGGCCTCACTGTGCCACGCCCAGGGCTGGTGCGGTCTGTGGCGCACAGCCATTTTATTCTGGCAGAGAAACCCAGCCCTGTGCTCAGTCTGGGAAGATGGAGGCTGTCTTACTGCTTGGCAAAGCTGGCCCTTTGGTATGTGGCCGTTTGGTTCCCTGAATGTTGGCAGCGCCTGGCCTGCCAACACCACAGCGCAGGCAAAACTACACGAAGGGGCGTGTGCATCTCACCCCAGTGTGGCCCACCCCGTCCCAGGCCCTGGGGCATCTGTGGTTACAGCAGGCAGGGCCTTTGCCCCGGGGACTTGTATTCTGGTGGGGAAGCCAAGAAGGCAAAGATGAGGAGACCAATGCAGCAGAAAGGTCTGGAGAAGAACCAGATTTCCCACACAGCGTCACCCCGGGAGGCTCCTCCCTCACAGCTGGTGCGGGGTCTCCGCCCTGCGCACCTGGAGGTTGCTGTGGGTCAGGTCTGAACCCCGCTGTGTTGGAGAATGGCGCCTCATAGCTGGTGCGTGCCACATTTGGACTCTTTGCACAAAACATTCCTGTGGTCCGGCCGTCTGTGAATTCTCTGATATGAACGTCGGTTAATCATTGCTGACACTGAACGAGAATCCATTCCCGTCCCGAGGCCCGCCCCGGTGTCTGGTGTCTGAGTGCCCTGCACCCCTCCCACCGGGCTGAAACTGGACCCCCACCGCCCCGCCAGCCTCCTGACAACGTGGAACTGTCTGCAGCAGGTTAAAAGGCTTGCGGAAACCTGAGCGCTCGGCAGGCCCAAAGGCTTTTGTGCACTCACAAAAGCTCCCACCACGGCTTATAGGCTTGGGGGGTGGAAGGGAGCCAGCGGGGAGGCGCGGAGAATGGTGGGGTCCCCCCCCCACGGATTCTGTGTCCGCACTCCCAACCGGTCCGTCAGGTGAGGGTCGCACAGCCTTTCACGGGCTCCTTCAGCTGACAGCAGCCCGGGCCCCGGGCAGGCTCTGCTCGGAGCAGCCGCGCTGGCTCGGCCGCCCACCGGGGGTGTGTCCTCAGTGCATGCTCTCCGGTCTGTCTTCTTTGTTCCGCCCGGCCACCACTGCGCTTTCTGTCCTCTGTGTAAGGCCTGGGCATCCGGCCTCCCTCTCCCCTGTGGATGGGGGGCAGCTTCCAGGTCTGGCTGCCTGACTTGCTAGACTTAGCTGAGCCTTCCTGTTCCCGGGCTCCTTCTGCATAAGAATATAGTTGACAGCTGTGGTGGCTCACGCCTGTAATCCTGATTCAGGAGGCCGAGATCTGGGAGGATCATCGTTTGAAGCCAGCTGGAAAGCCAGCAGGAAAGTCCATGTAAGAGTCTATCCCCCAAATAGCCATCAAACAGCCAGGCTGAAGGTGTGGCTCAAGTGGTAGAGTGTGAGATGTGAGCAAGCCAGCCGGGCACCAGCAAAAGCGGGGAGTGAGAATGGAGAATTCCGAAATTTGCACCTGAGTCTCACTGCTGCTTCCTTCAGTGGCTATCTGAAAATGCAGCTTACATGTGAAAAAGAACCCGTCTGCCTGTATCATCCTCACCTGTGCTGGCCCGCCGGGCCTCAGATCACTTTCTCTTGGGCCACAAATTGGAATGAGCAGCTCCTGTTGCTTTCTTTTTAGAAGCGAGGGTGTGTGGGGCGGGGTGGAGGGGTGGCATTGGAAGCAGGCCCGGCATTGTTGCCGTTTCCTGGTGTCCTGGCTTTTCATTCCGTGTGCTGGCTTTCAAGCTGTAACACAGTTGTGTGTGTGTGTGTGTGTGTGTGCGTGCTGGTTCTGGGCTTGAAATCAGAGCCTGGGCACTCTCTTTTTCACTCAAGGCTGGTGCTCTACTACTTGAGCCACATCTCCACTTTTAGCTATATTGGTGTCATCTCGTGGACATTCCTGTCCAGGCTGGCTTCGAACTGCAGTCCTCAGATCTCAGCCTCCTGAGTAGCTAGGATTACCAGCATGAGCCACCAGCGAGACCTTCCTCTTTTTCAGTGCTGGGGTGGAACCCAGGGCCCTGCAGTTGCCAGGCAAGTGCTCTGCTGTTAAGTCACATCCCTTCTGCTCTTCCCCCGTGATGGCTCGGTGCTTTGCCGGAAAATCCAGTGCCCCGGTGTGTGTGTGTGGGGGGCTGCCGGGGACCTCAGCCTCCCTTTCCCCAGACCCCACCTGCGGTCCGCTCCATCGGCCCCAGACGGAAGTCAGCGGCTGGTGGAATGTCTCCATCAGCAGAAACTGTCCTGCAGACAAACCTGGGTGCTTATTTTTTTTTTTCCCTCTCTTTTTACCCTCAGTTTTCCTTTTCTTTCCGGGCTGAGCTGTTTGATTACAAGCAGCAGTTTGCCACAATTGCAATTTTGTAAATAGCAGCTTAGTTTCATTAAAGCCTAGCAGGGTAAAGTGCCGGTTACGCCCCTCTCCGAAAGTCTCTCCCATCACCAAAGTGTAAATTACCAGCTGGGGAGACAGCGCCAGGGTGGCTCATCTTCCTCCAGAATCACACCTAACATTTAAGCATCCCTAATGGACTGTTTTCTAATCAGGCTGCTGTTACGGAGCAAGCAAACAGGTGATTTTTCCAAACCATCTAAGTATTGCTTAGCGCAATGGTGAAGTCAGCCTCTAAGGACGTGGATTATCAGACCTGGTGGTTTCACCAGCAGTGTAAAAGGTGATGCATACGCCAGGGAGATGGCAGGCCTAAGAAGGGCCTGCAGTTGTCTAATGTACCTTAGGGTTGACCTCAGAGGAGGACCGGTATTCTCCCATCAAGCCCCCACGTCGTACAGGGAAGCTGCAGGGGGTGGACAGGGTGGGTCTGGAATAGACCTGGGATGGTGGTCTCCAGCCACATAGGCCGTGCACCGCCCAGCTCCAGCTGCCTGGGGTCACACAACTCGGCCTCCTGGATGAGTACCTGTGGCCAGCAACCCCAGATCACTTCTTCCAGCCCCGTCTCCCACCCAAATGGGCGCTTCATTCCTTTGTAAAAACTGACTTTTTTTTTAAATACTTGTTCCCCAATTTAAAAAATTGATGAGCCAAGTTCCAGTGGCTCAGCCTTGTAATTCCAGCTACTCAGGAGCCTGAGAGCTGAGGATGGTTCAAAGCCAGCTTAGGCAGAAAAGTCCCACAACTGTGCTCTCCAATTAACCATCAAAAAGCTGGAAGTTGAGCTGGGGCTCAACTGGCAGAGCACCAGTCTGGAGCAAAAGAGCTAAGGGACAGCACCCAGACCCTGGGTTTAAGCGTTAATATCAGGGAACGTGCACACAGACACACCAACAGACAGACAGGCACACACACACAGTAAACACAAAACAAAACACAGCATTGATGATTTAATAGTATGTTAGAAAGCATGAGTGCATCACATGATGAGCTCAAACTGACCCTACAGTTCTCAAGAAGTATGGGGCCCTTGTTTTTACCTTTCTTCTTTTGGAATGAGCCTGGAAGTCCTGGGTTCGGGTGATCCTTCTGCCCCAGCCTCCAGAACGCTCACTGCAGGTGTTTACCACCATGCCCATCAGGGCTCCTCATTTTCCAGGCGTTTCCCGTGGGCAGGAAGGAGCTCTGTCGCGTGTCCTGTGCAGACAAAGGGGCCTGGCAGCACTGCCCTGTCCCCTTCGGCTTGGTCCCCACAGCCACCTGGGGTAACGCACGAGGAGCCCAGCTGCAGGTGTGGCGGGCGGCTCTCCCGTGGCTCGTTAGCTTGGCACCTTTGTGCCGTCTGTGGCTGGCATGGATGGCCCAGTGGCCGCATGACTCTGCAGGGGACGGGAGGGTCCGTCAGGCAAGGTGAGCGGGGCACGGCATGGCCTGTGCCAGGCAGGCTCCGGCGGATCGGGGAGCTCTTGACACAGGGCAGTGTCTTTGGGGCGGGAGTGCGTGCTGGCATCGGTTCCCTGGAACACAGGGTTGGGATGGATGGGGCCCAGCTGAGGATCCCCAGGACAGCAGAGCATGGGTTCAGAAGAACTTTCCAGGCCACAGCACGTGCCTGTGTCCTGGGGCTGTGTAATGAGGAATCCAAGACAGGGCAGCTCGGACGTGAGCAGGACCGCGTTCCTCCGGGCGCTCTGAGAGTCCTCCCCGCCCTCCACTGCTCTGGTTGAGGTCCTCCTCCCCCCCCCCCCCCCCGCAGGCAGGGGCAACGGTGCTGTGCGTCCTTGACCCGCGTCCCCCGTGCCCTTAACCCGCGTCCCCCGTGCCCTTGTCTGTCTGTCTGGAGCTGTGGCTGTCCCGGCTCCGCGGCCCCCGCCGCAGCTCGGGCTCCTTTCCCTCTGGGCTCAGCCGTGTGTGCCGAGGCCGCTCTCCCCGGGCTCTGGGGCACTGGGAAGGAGGAGAGCTGTCCCGGTCCCTTGTCCCTCGGCCCCCACGGGCCGTGTGCGTGGGCTGGGTGCCCACGGAGGGTTCCCTGGGGGAGCAGTGCTGACCCTGGTCTTCCTGTGCCCACAGCCCAACATCGGCCGCCTGGGCCTGCCCCACGGGCCGTCCGGGGAGAAGGTGGCGGTGGTGACCGTGGATGATTGTGACACAGCCGTGGCCGTGCACTTCGGCGGCTACGTGGGGAACTACAGCTGCGCTGCGCAGGGCACCCAGAGCGGCTCGAAGAAGTGAGTCTTCCGAGGGACCTCCAGGCACCCGCCCCCACGGGTGCCCCTGTGCCCGGCACAGGTCACCCTGGGCCCCCCAGACGGGCCAGGCAGGGCACTTCGGTAGCCCCAGCTCAGGCTGGCATCAGATTCCCTCCCGTGGGTCAGGTGACCTTTTGTCTGAGACATGGAACTCTCTAGAAAAAGTCCTCTTACAAGTATCGGTCAAGAGAAGCCAGCAGCCCTAGATGATGAGTGCAGCTCTCTGACTCGGGCTCCCGGCCCTCTCCCTGGACCCCGACCCCTGGCTTCGTCCAGCGAGAACCTGCACACACTCCCGTACCGCGTGAGGCAGCCAGGTCTCCCCACCGGTCCCCGAGGTCTCCCAACACGTTCGCTGGTGGCCATTACCGGGTTTCATTGTTTGTTTTTGCTTGTGATACCAGATTCTAAAGTCGAGCACACGCTCCTGCTGGACTGGATGCTGATTGTATGCTGGTTGAACACAGAGTGGGCCGGGGTTGTGGTACATAGCGCAGGCCGGCCTTGAACTCCCCATCCTCCTACCTTATCCCCTAAGCACTACAGGTGTGTGCAAACAGCCCTGAGCATCCTGTTTTGTTTTGTTTTTGTTTTTTGCCAGTCGTGGGTCTTGAACTCAGGGCCTGGGCACTGTCCCTGAGCTTCTTTTGGTCAAGGCTAGCACTCTACCACTTGAGCCATGGCACCATTCCCAGCCTTTTCAGTGTATGTGGTATGAAGCAGCCGAACCACGGGCTTCATGCCTGCGAGGTCAGCACTCTACCACGAAGCCACATTCCCAGCCCCCTTTTTGGTCTTGTATGTGTGCGTGTATGTGCTTGCTGATTCTGGGGCTTGAACTCAAGGCCTGTGTTCAAGGCTAGTGCTCTACCACTTGAGCCATAGCTCTACCTCTCACTTTTTTTTTTTTGGTACTTAATTGGAAATAAGAGTCTCCCAGACTTTCCTGCTCAGACTAGGATGACAGGCGTGAGCCACCAGTGCCCAGCTGCGAGCATCCATTTTGAAAGTGACATTCAAGCTAATGTAGCCAGTGACCTTCCCCATGACCTCCTCCGTTCTCCCCACCCATCTGAGCTGCTGAGTGGTCACTGGCTCACCAAACCTCCAGTAAGTCAGGATTGAGGAAACCGAGGCACCGAGGCTGGAGGGGAACCTCAGAAAGGCCCGGAAGCAGGATCGACTTCTGGCCTCTGACGGCCCGGCGTTGGCGCCTGCTCCGCGACACCTCCCTGGCAGCAGCGGCTGCAGCTTCTGCAGCAGAGCTGGCCCCGTGGTGCCCCTCCCCTGGGCATTCAGAGTGCGCTGTGCCCCCACAGGTCCCTGGATCTCACCGGCCCACTGCTCCTGGGCGGCGTCCCCAACCTACCTGAAGATTTCCCGGTGCACAACCGACAGTTTGTCGGCTGCATGCGGAACCTGTCCATCGACGGCCGGAATGTGGACATGGCGGGATTCATCGCCAACAATGGCACCAGGGCGGGTATGTGTGGCCGCCGGGGTGCATGGGACTGGCACGGCACCCGCTGCCCATCAGCGGGCACCCTGGGGAGGGCTCCTTGTCCGTCCCTAGTGAGCCGTCTTTTCTTAGAGATGTGTGCCCAGCTACGGGCACCTCCTGGAAGTGGGGGTGGGGACCCAGCCACTGCACACTCCAGGCCTGGCCTGCGGCTCCACAGCTGCCCTGCTCCTGCTGGCCATCGGCTGACCCTGGGACACACGACCCTAGGGTTGTCTGTGTGCCACCAGGTGGCCAGACCAGCCGCCGTGAGTCTTGGCGGTGGGCAGAGCCTTCTAACCATCCCAGCTTGGGGACCACAGCCAGTGTTCCCGCCTGGCTGAAGCTTCAGCCACTTCCGTTCACGTCGGGCCCCTTGTGGGAAGGAGGTGGGTCCCCCGGGGGCCCGGCTCCGGTCCCCTGCGCTAAGGCCTGGCTGTGTGCTCTGCCTTGCCAGGCTGTGCCGCCCAAAGGAACTTCTGCGATGGGACCTCATGCCAGAATGGGGGCACCTGTGTGAACAGGTGGAACATGTATCTGTGCGAGTGCCCGCTCCACTTCGGCGGCAAGAACTGTGAGCAAGGTGAGGGCTTGGCGCCGCTCCTGCCCCGGCCGCAGCTGCCCCGGCCGCAGCTGCCCCGGGCACAGGGGGTGGGAGCTGGGGAGGGGGGGGGGCAGGGCTGGAGCCAGGGAAGGAGCGCCTCCTCCGGTCAGGGCCAGCCGGAGGTGCGGGGCCCCGTTCACCTTCCATGGCACCGTCTGGTGAACAAACGGCTGAGTCCTCAGATCCCTCCCTGCCCCGTGCCCTCCCCTCCCCCCCTCCCCCCTCCCCCCCCCCCACCTCTGTGCGGTTATAGATAGATCTGGCAGCTTTGAACAGCAACTTCATTTTGAAGCATTTGTTGTTGTGGTGGTTTTTCAGTCATTGACACTCTTAAATTTTAAGATAAATCAGCCAGGCACCTGTGGCTCACACCTGTAGTCCTAGCTTCTTAGGAGGTTGGGGTCAGGAGGATGGTGGTTGGAGGCCCGCCAGGCAGTCTCAGTACCGGGCAGCTGAGTGTGTGGTGCGTGCATGTCAGACCAGCTGAGAAGCTGGAAAGCTTAGATAGAAGATCTCCGGCCAGGCTGGTGTGGGCTGTTTATAACCAGAGCAGGGAGGGCTGGAGGTGGCGCTCAAGCAAACCTTTGAGTCGGAACCCAAGTGCTGCTAATTCATTAACCAGAAAATAAGGACGGGATGGAGCTGTCCACACCTGTTCGGGGTGTCCACTGCCCGCACCTCCAGATATCCCAGTTCCTGTCAGCAAATGTAGGGCTCTGAGAAGTCCCGCACGGGAGTCACCTGCGGGCCCCAATACACAAGCTGTGAAGGGCCACCTGTACTGGTGGGCTTTGCCTGGGGCCCAGCCGGGCCGACAGGCATCTCCTGGGGCGGGGCCTCCGCGCCCGTGAGGCTGTGCGCTCACACCTGCTCTGGGTAGACAGAAGGACCCAGAGTCTTCCGAAGGAAACAATGGGCAGAACTGTGGTCTGAGTGTGTGTGCCAGCGCTCACCCTCCCCTCACGAGCCCTGCCCCTGCCTAGGTTCCCGGGCTACGTGTGGGCCGGACAGGTGGGAGGGTCTGGCAGGCCCACCCCTCGGGCCCCAGGGCTGCCCAGCCCCCCCAGCCCGGGGACCCTTGCCACACCTCGGCTATGGACGAAGCGCCCAGGCCTCACCAGAACCCGGTGGGGGTCAGCATTACCCAGTGCTGGGCTCTGAGGGCTGGATTTGTCACAGAGCGCGTGGGCCTTAGCGTTAAGATGAGAAGGGCCCAGGACTGGGGTGAAGCCACCACCCACCCCAGCGCCTGGCGCCCTCCCTCCACCTGTGCAATGTGGTCTGTGTCCACAGCCATGCCCCATGCCCAGCACTTCAGCGGGGAGAGCCTGGTGTCCTGGAGCGACCTGGACATCACCATCTCTGTGCCCTGGTACCTGGGGCTCATGTTCCGGACCCAGAAGGAGGATGGCGTGCTGCTGGAAGCCACGGCGGGCATGTCCTCGGGGCTCCATCTCCAGGTGAGTGGGGCCGCAGGGCAGGTGGGAGAGAGGGGGCCGGGTGCGGGGTTTCCCAGGGCGCCTCGCAGGGGCACACCCGCCACTCCTGCGCCCGCCCCAGCGGAGCTGGAAGGGAAATGTGAGCCGCGGCCGGGCAGGAGCACAATCGAGCCATTCAGCGGAGGAGAGGGGCCTGGCTTCCCACCGCGGTTTCCTTTCCAGGGCTTTCTTCCCTTCCTTACAGCCAGGACAGGACTCGTGGTCCCGAGGCAGGCAGACCTGGGGTCATGTACCGGGTGATCTTAGACGGGAGCTCCCCCACCCCGCCCAAGGCTGCGGGGGTCAGGCCTGTTTTCTGGCTAGATTTTAGGTATTTCAGAGCTGATGGCAGCAGAGTTCCCGCTGGGAGGGGAGTAGCGGGCCTCTGGGCAAGCCAGCGCCGACAGCTCTGTCACCATTGTCACTGTGTCTGGGAGGTGGCCTAGCCATAAGGCTCCAGGGACCTGTTGCATGCCTCCCATGTGTGTTTTCTGAGCGTTTGTTCGCTTGCGTGAGGTCTTTACTGTTTGTTTCATTGAAACGCTAGATAACAGAATTCCTTGCTGGGCACAGTGATGGACTCCTGTAATCCCAGGACTTGGGAGGCTGAGGCAGGAGGCCCTCAGGGTCCAGCACCGCCTGGGCTGCCGGAGCAGTTTTAAAACAAAGCCAAATGAACAGTTTCTTATTTTTGTCGGTTGTGGGGCTTGAACTCTGGGCCTGGGCGCTGTCCCTGCACTCTTCAGCTCAAGGCGAGCGCTCTACTGCTTGAGCCACAGCGCCACTTCCTCCATTGCTTTTTATTATTATTATTTTATTTATTTAACATCACAAATAGTTTCCACTTAGATCTTCTAAGAGCCAGAGGTTCTTCATTGAGAACCAATGGCAGGTTGCTTTCTCTGTGTGTGTGTGTGTGTGTGTGTGTGTGTATGCTCGTATGTTTAGGGCTTGAACTCAGGGCTTGGGTGCTGTCCCTGAGCTCTTTTGCTCAAGGCTAGTGCTCCATCAATCAAGCCACAGCCCCACTTCTGGCTATTTGGAGGAGAAGGGGTAATTTATGGGAGATAAGAATCACACTTTCCTAGGCAGGCTGGCTTCAAACCATGATCGTCAGGTCTCAGTCTCCCCAGTAGCTGGGATTCCAGGTGTGTGCCCAGCCAGGTTGCTTTCTCTTGTGGGAGCCACTGCTTTGACAGCTAGCTGTCCATCATGACTGCCCCTCCCAGCCCCAAGCCTACGGTCCCACCTCCCTGTGTCCCGCGGTACAGATGTTCCTGTGTCGGCCGCCGTCCACATTACTCACTGATCAGCACCAGGCTCCCCAAGCGCCCCACAGTTCCCCCTCCTGGAGGTTCATGGGAGCCCCTAGACCTGTTCTTTCCTGGTGCAGCAGCCTTGGGAGTCATAGGCTCCTAGGAAAGTTGGCCTGAGCAAGCCCATCCATCTTGCTTGAAGGAATTCTGTCACTGGATGTGTCTTCCTTCTCGGCTTTTTCCAAGTATGTATACGTATGTGCAAGCGTGCCTCCATGTGTCTGTCGCTGTGTGGGTGTCTGCGGAGCATGCCCATGTGTATGTGTGTATGTATGCATAATGCATGCATGTGTCTGCACATTGTGCATACATGTGTGTATGTCTGAGCACGTGCCTGTGTGGATGTGTGTTTGTGTGTAGATGAAGACATCGTTGTGCATACGTGTGTGTGTCTGTGTGTGGATGTGTGTATCTATACACCAGTCTGTGCATGCATATGTATGTTTGTCCATGTGTGTGCGTGTGTGCATGTGTGAGTGCATGTGAAGAGAGCTGGGTGTATTTACACTTCCTTCCCACAGTGCGTTTATTGTCTCCACCTTAGAACAACCAGAGGCTCTTCCCTCCATCCCTCCCCGTGTTGTTTCCCTCCCTCCCTTCCTTCCCTCCTTCTTTTCCTCCCCTCCCCTCCCTTCCTTCCCCTCTTCCTTCTCTCCTCCTCTCTCCCCTCCTTCCTGCACAGTTGCTGTCTTTGATCAGCCTCTTGCCACGCTACAGGTCTCCCCTGGACATGGGCGCCCCTGTCCCAGGATGACAGCCTGGGGGCGGTGACTCTGTGATCGGGAAGTCCCTCTTGGACTGGCTTGCGGGCCCGCGGCTCCCAGTTCTCGCTTTGGAGGCCGGGGCAGAGGCTGGCGATGTCAGGGACAGACCCCGAGGGGCACCCACACTCGCTCCCGCTCCGCACGGGGTGCACGGAGATGCCCGCTCACACGTGGCTCTGAGGGCCCGTCAGAGGTTAGTGGGCGAGGACCCTGAGCGGTGGCGAGAGGAGGCTGAGGGGAGCCCAGACCAGAGGACAGACCCTCTGCATCTCACCGCAGCCGGTCCCGGCCCAGCATGGCTCTCAGCACAGCCTGACACAGAGCCTCCAGGGCACCCCCTGGGTCTCGGGGTACCGCCCGCATCAGGGGCTCTCGTCTTCCTCTCTGGGGGGGGTTCACAGACTTGCTGGGAGTGCAGGGCAGGCACGTGAGCAGCGTCTCCCTGGGGAGAACCCGCCGCACCCTCTTGGCTTTGGCCGATGCCTGGCAGCTCCCTACGGGCTGGCAGCCCAGTCTCCACGCCCCGGGCTCTGCCAGGGGCCAGCCCGCCTTCCCTGAGCCGGGCTGGGAGGCAGGAAGCGCGGCCCAGGGGCAGCCAGAGCTTCCCCAGGACAGTTCCCATAGGCAGGTAGTGGGTATTACAGGAGCGTTCTGGTCCTTTCTAGAGATGCATTCAGCTCTTGGGCCTTGTCTAGGCCTGAGGAGCTCCCCGGGGGCCCATCTGAACCCACGCAGGCAGAACAAGAATCTGATCTCAGATCCCTGTTGGATGGGGCAACCCTGGGGTCGTTGACTCCCGTCTTGAATTTGTGACGGGACGAGGTGGTTGGTAGCCCCTGTGGCTTATCATAGCCACTGCTTCTGTCTAGACATGGCGGCCTTCCTACCACTGGCCTGATTCTTAGCAAGGACAGAGGAGGAGGTGGCAAGGAAAACTTGAAGCGTGAAAGGAAATGAACATTAAAAGGCAAAGCTGGGCACGGCAGCTCGCGCCTGTAATCGCAGCTCCGTGAGAGGCTTCCACCGGGAGGCATGTGGTTCAGGCCATCCCGTAGCTGGGCACACTGGCAAGTGCTGTGATCTGGAGGTCGCAGTTCCCAGCCAGCCCGCGCAGGAAAGCCTGCAGGACTCCCGTTGGGAGGGACACTGCGGGGCGTGCCTGTGATCCCCAACACGCACGGGAGACCAACGCAGCAGAGGACAGCGCGGGCACGTGTCTGGGCAGGAAAGGAGATGTTTCAAAAGGAATCAGCAAAAGATTAGGTTGGGGAATGGCTCAGCAAGTACAAGCGTCTGCATTCAAATTCGAGCACTGCCATAAAGGAAAAAAAAAAAGTTATTCTAGAGAAACTTGAAAACAAGTTATAGTCCAGTTCTCTTTGATTTAAAAGCAAATAGCTTTTTTACCAAGCTCCACTGGCTCTCGCCTATAATCCTAGCTATTCAGGAGGCTGAGATCTGAGGACTGTGGTTCTAAGCCAGCCTGGGCAAAAAAATCCGTGAGACTCCTATCTGTAGTTAACCACCAAAATCCAGAATTGGAGCTGTGGCTCAAGTGGTAAGAGTCCTAGCCTTGAGTGTAAAAGCTCAGGGACGGTGCCCAGGTCCTGAGTTCAAACTCCAGGACTAGCACAAAAAGCAGCAGGACAACAGCAACAAACAGCCTTTTCTGATGCCCATTCTGGACTTGTCTGAGATCTGTAGGTTATTTCTGAGTTAGCGCGTTCGTGGCATTTTCTAGAAAAGCATCTTGGTGTTTCTTACAGCAAGTCCAGCGGGGTTTGGGCCATACAATCTGAGCTTTGCTTTGTAATATGTGGAGATTTTTCCACACCACACGGCTAGTGGGTGTCTGTGGTTTTGTGTGTTCTGCGTGAGCGTGAGCGTGTGCTGAGCTGCTCTCAGGCTGAGCTGTTGCGAGGTTTTCATGTGTCAGTTCTGCATAACGGCACAGACTGGAGGCCCGAGGGGTCTGTTTTTGCTCTTCACTCCTCTTGGCTTTCGGGTACGCTGTCTTATCTTCTCATGTGCGCGGTTATGTATTATCATCATCATCAATAGGATCATTATTGAGTTTGTATTGAAAACGTGGAGAGAATCGGAAGCCGGGGCAGAGGTGTCGTTATCGGCCATGGCTGCCCCTGGGCACCGTCTTTACAGAGCGTATTAGCACCTTCAGACCAAGGAGTCCACGCCGGGCACTGTTGCAGCAAGATCTGCTCTGCATGTTTACTTCCTAGCTGTTCAGGAGGCTGAGATTGGAGGGTTGTGGTTCAAAGCCAGCCCAGGCAAGCTCCAATAACCATCAGGAAACCAGCAGTGGAGCTGTGGCTCAAAGTGGCAGAGTGCTAGCCTTGAGTGGAAGAGCTCAGGGACAGCACCCAGGCTGTGAGTTCAAACCCCATGACCGACAAAAGTGCAGAGCCCTGGGTCTTACAGCCTGCAGTCCAGGGACCAGGGAGCCTGGCTGGACGCCCTGACCCCCACGTCCCAGGCTTGTCAGCACCCGCAGCAGCCTGCAGAGTGGTGCCCAGTGTTGCAGGTCCAGCTGTCTGCTCTGCGGGTCCTGCTGTCCCTGGCTGTGGCTGACATTCTGCTGTACCTGGAGTTCCCCAGCACCCTGCACCGAAGGTCTTCTGTCTCGTTTACCTTGTGTTTTCTGGAGGAACTTGTGTTTTCTGCCGGAACTTCGCCCTGGCCGCATTGCTACAGGACTTCCCATCTCAGCCGCTCGCAGCGCTGAGCTCGGCTGTTTTTCAAACATGTCATTAGACGCGAGAGATTGGATGGATTGAAAGTTGCCTGGCTTGAGCTGAGTACAGTGGTCCACACCTGTAATCCAGGCTCTTCAGATCAGATTGTCATTTGAGACCCTCCGGGGCAAACAGTTAACAAGACCCCGTCTGAACAGGCCAGTCTGGGCCAAAAAGGGGGAAGCACAAAGGGCCAGGGCGCCCACGTGGTGGTGTGCATATCCAGCAAGCGTGGGGCCTCGCGTCGAGTCCCTAGCACCCCCGAAACAAGCCCGCAGCCCGGGTCGGTTTGTGCAGCGGCTGCGGGGACACCGCAGTGCTTTGACGGTTGGAGCGTCAGGGGCGTCTCTCTGCCCGCAGATCCTGAACCACTACATCCGGTTTGAGGTGTCTTACGGCTCCTCTGACGTGGCGTCCTTGCAGCTGTCCCGGTTCCGGGTGACCGACGGGGCGTGGCACCACCTCCTGGTAGAGCTGCGGAGCGCCAAGGAGGGCAAGGACATCAAGTACCTGGCGGTCGTGACCCTGGACTACGGGATGGACCAGGTGAGCAGGCCCGCCTTCCTGCCTCCCGCCCGCCTGTCCACTCCCTGCCCTGGCTCACGCCTGCCCGGCGTGCCCATTACAGGGCTTGAGGGTTGCCCGTGCCCCCACGGCCCCTTGGTCCGTCACCTGGCCCTCTGCACACAGCCAGGCCGAGGGTGGAGGCCTGGGACCTCCGTCCGGGGAGCGGTGACCTGTTGTCACCATCAGCACGCCGCTCCTCTCTCTGCTCAGAACACGGTGCAGATCGGGAACCAGCTCCCAGGGCTGAAGATGCACAGCGTGGCAGTCGGGGGCGTGTCTGAGGACCAGGTCTCCGTGCGCCGTGGCTTTCGAGGCTGCATGCAGGTACGGCAGGGGCCGGGACCGCCTCGCGGGCCACCCGGGCCTCCAGTGCCCCGGATCGGGCTGCCAACCAGGCAAGCTGAGCCCCAGCTTTAGAGTCTCCTGTTCCTCCTTAGACCCCTCCCAGCTCCCACATTGTTCCCCCCCCCCTCCCCCAGTGTGTTCCAGCCCGGCTGAAGTGGCTGCCACAGGAGCTGTTTGTCTGTCCATCTGTCTGTCTGTCTGTCTGTCTGTTTGTTGAACTCAGAGACTTGTGCTCTCACTTGGTTTTTCTTTTTCTAAATCAAAATTGGTGCTCTACCACTTGAGCTGGGTCTCACTTCTGGCTTTCTGCTGGTTTGTTGGCGGTAAGAGTCTCATGGACTCTGCTGCCTGGGCTGGTTTCAAATTGCGATCCTCACACTGCAGCCTCCCGACGAGTAGCTGGGCTGACGGGCGTGAGGCCCCAGCTCTGGCTGGCAGGAACGGTTTGTGCAGTGACTCAGTCCTGCCTTTGCTCCTGGTCCTCTCCGATGACCCAACGTCGGCCTCCCTGGGAGCCCCAGGCGCTCGGCTTAGGAAGTGTCCCGTGGAGGATGGGGGAGGATTTGGGGCTCCCGTGGGGTTCCTCCACCCTCATGTCCAGGACTGACTGCAGCTGCCCACTCTAATGCAGGGGGTGAGGATGGGGGAGACGTCCACCAACATTGCCACGCTGAACATGAATGACGCGCTGAAGGTCCGGGTGCGGGATGGCTGCAGCGTGGAGAACCCATGCGCCTCGGGCCCCTGCCCCCCGCACAGCCGCTGCCAGGACACCTGGGACGGCTACTCCTGCGTGTGCGACAAAGGTGGGTCCGCTCCCGAGTGGCCCTCCCCCGCCGGGCGGCGAGAGCCAGCGCTGGGGCCCGCGGGCACCACGCCTTCCTCGCCAGGCACATGTCACCCCTGAAGTTGGGGGTCTGGGAACTCACCCTCCATTTGCTTCCTGGGGTGGCTGGGGACCCCCCCTTCCACCCCAGCTCACAGCCTCCCTGGAAGCCTTGACAGGCTGTCTTCCATTTCCAAGTCCCGCCCGCCGAGCGCCTGGCTTCTTGCGGCTGGGCTCCTCCCTGCCACGCCCTCTGCCTGTCACCTCTGTCACGCAGAGGTGACAGCGGCCCTGTCCCCGTAGGGTACTTTGGACAGAAGTGCGTGGACGCCTGTCACCTGAACCCCTGCAAGCACGCGGCGGCCTGCGTGCGCCCCCCAGGCTCCCCGCGGGGCTATGCATGCGAGTGTGGACCGGGCCACTACGGGCCGTACTGCGAGAACAAGTAAGGGCCCCGTGCGCCGCCTCCCGACCCCAGAGCCTCTCCTCCCCGTCCGCCTCGCTCTCCTCTGGGTGGCTTTGACCCTGAGAGGCACACACCAGATGTGGCGGGGGGGGGGGGGGGCCAGGAGGGAGGTGCTGGGAGGAGGAGGGAGAGGGGGAGAGGGATGGTTGGGGGTGATGTGGCGATGGGATGCCAGCCTGCACAGGCCCTGGCAGGCTCTACCCTTTCTTCTGTAGACCTCCAATGCCATCTTATTTCCCACCAGAGTGGACCTTCCGTGCCCCAAAGGCTGGTGGGGCAACCCCATCTGCGGCCCCTGCCACTGTGCCGTCAGCCAGGGCTTCGATCCCGACTGCAACAAGACCAACGGCCAGTGCCAGTGCAAGGTGCGGCGCCCAGCACGGCCAGGGACGGCGCTGCACAACACACGTGTGTGCACGCAGTCCCACGTGAAGCACATGCGTGTGCAATCATATACAACACACACACCCAGAATTCATGAAACGTGTGTGCACACAATCCTACATGGAACAGACACACACATGCAGCCCTACACACACACACGTGCACACAAAATCGTACCGGAAACGTGCACACACGATCCTGCCAGAAACGTGTGCACACAGTCCTACATGAAACATATGTGTAAGTGCAATTATCCACAGACACATGTATGCACAAAATCCTACACAAAACGTGTGTGCAATCCTACATGAAACACATGTGTAATCCTACATGAAACATGTACGCACAAAATCCTACATGAAATGTGTGTGCAATCCTACGTGAAACACGTGTGTGCACTATTCTACATGGAACACACACACACATATACAGTCCTGTGAAAAACTTGTGTACATACAAACCCACACAAAATGTGTACCCACAATCCTACATGAAATATGTATCGTACAATCCTACACAAAACACGTATGTATACATAGTCCTACACAAAACACCCATGCATGCCCAATCCTACATGAAACACAGGTGTACACACAATCCCACACCAAACTCGTGTATACATTACCACATGAAACACATGTTCAATCCTGTGCAATGCACATGCACACAGAATCCTACACACTCATCCCTGAGAGTGCATGCACGTATGTTCACACTCATCCACTGTACACACACCCCGCCTACATTTGTAGATGCCTGCTCTCCCTCGCTGTCACACACACAGCCTTGCACGCATGTCTGTGGGTGTTGCGCGCTCTTCTGTCTGTGCACACGTCCTGGCTGCCTCACATACTCACTAGGTCAGCCCCCTAACCCCCGCCCCCCGCGTGAGAACTGGGATTGTTGCCGGTTAAATCCTCACAGGTTTGTTCTCTGCCCCCACACCTAGTGGGTCACAAGAGATCTAGAGATTTCTGTGAAGGATGTCCCACGTCCAACACCAGTTAAGCTCTGCATAGTTGGCCATGGTCCTGCTTTTTTCCAAGCTGGCCTTCAGTAATGATGAAGATTTTAAATATTAACAGCTGAAGATGCGGCTCCGACTCTTAATGTGCACACAGAAACTAAAGATGAAGGCTGTGTGCCAGTGACTCACACCTGCAATCCCAGCTACTCACGAAGCTCAGACCTGAGGATCGCAGTTCAAAGCCAACCTGGTCAGGAAAGTCCTTGAGACTGTTGTCTTCAAGCCACCAAAAAGCCATAAGTGGAGCTGTGGTTCAAGTGGTAGAGCACTAGCCTTGAGCGAGCGAGCGAGCTCGGGAACAGCAAACAGCCAGGGCCCTGAATTCAAGCCCCGGTACCAGCACGCGCACACACGCACACACACACACACACACACACACACACACACTGCAGTAAGTGAGGAGGCAGAAGCACTGGCTTCACCGTCCATTCCCAGTCCTCACAAGTATGTACATGCGCTCGCACGTGTGCCGAGCAGAGCAGCCAGCCACGTGTCACATACCACGTCTTCAGGCCACATCATAAGAAGCCGACTCCCTTGACCTTGGGCTGACCTGTGGGACACCTCTCACCTTAGGCTGCCAGCAACATGAATCCTAGTGCCGGCCTGAAGGTCACAGTAGCCATGCATGGGGGGGGGGGGGGACTTGTCGGGCTCCTGTGCGGCCTGGGCCCCGCGGGGCTGCTCATGGTCCTTGTGTGCAGCATCACACGCGCTTTGGCTCTTGCAGGAGAATTACTACAAGCCCCCTGCCCAGGACGCCTGCCTGCCGTGCGACTGCTTCCCGCACGGCTCCCGCAGCCGGGCCTGCGACATGGACACGGGACAGTGTGCCTGCAAGCCGGGCGTCATCGGCCGCCAGTGCAACCGCTGCGACAGCCCCTTCGCCGAAGTCACCGCGCTGGGCTGCGAAGGTCCTCCTCCCCACCCTTCCCGCCACACTGCGGCAGGCTGTGTGCCGTGCCTGCATGCCGGCAACCGCATGTTCTAGGTTCTCCTCGGCCTTCTAGAGCCTGGCCAGTCTTGAGGCCGTGGGTGAAGCCAGTTCTGATACCAGTGGGCACAGGAAGCTGCCAGGGGCACGGTCAGGGGGAGGGGCTCCTGTTGGTGAACACAGGGTGCTGAGCTGAGTCGTGTCTTTTCCTCTGTCCCCCAGTGATCTACAGCGGGTGTCCCAGAGCATTCGAGGCTGGCATCTGGTGGCCACAGACCAAGTTTGGGCAACCGGCCGCAGTGCCATGCCCGAAAGGATCTGTGGGTAAGTCCCACAGTCCAGGATGCCCTCAGGGAAGAACAGTAGACCGTCACAGGCCTGGGAAAGCGATCTGTAGGCTGGGCTGGTATCTCCCATCTAAAATCCTAGCTACTCAGGAGGCTGAGATCTGAGGATCACAGTAGTTCAAAGCCAGCCTGGCAGGAAAGTCCGTGAGATTCTTATCTCCAATTAACCACCAGAAAACTGGAAGTAGAGCTGCGGCTCAAAGTGCTAGAGCTCTAGCCTTGCGCAAAAGAGCTCAGGGATAGCACCTCGGCCGAGTTCAAGCCTCATGACGACATAAAAAGAAAACAAAGAACAGCTGGGGTCGCACATGGGTGGTGAGCTCTGTCTCTGTCCGTGGGTCCCACTGCTCTGCCGGGGCCTTGGACGAGTCCCCTCACCACCCTGCACTGGGCTGTGAGATGCAACCGCAGTGGAACCACACAGGAAGGGGCACTGGAGTGCAGACCAGCCGTAGTGGGCTGGGCGCGTGGCTGGTCCCTCTCCTCCCTGTGCGCCCAGGCGTTTGCTTGTATTGCTGGGCATCCGGGGCCAGGTTGCAAACATCACAGTACCTTTGGAGGGGACCCCAGGGTGGAAGGAGGCCATACGTGTCAGCCTCACGCTGTGGGTCTGCAGCTGGGCCTTCCGTCCTGTGGTCGTGGGTCTGTGCAGCCCGGCCTCCCAGGGTCCCGGGGTCTGCTCAGTGCTGGGGTATAAGTACTTTCCAGCTGTGGTCCACATTTCTGTTTCTGCACGTGTGTTCTGGTTCTCTAGGAAACGCCATTCGGCACTGCAGCGGGGAGAAGGGCTGGCTGCCCCCGGAGCTCTTCAACTGTACCACAGGCTCCTTCCTGGACCTCAAGGTCATGGTAGGTCAGAGGCCACCAACGTAGGAGGTTGGCACAGGCATGCAGTCAGGGGACCGCCAGGGTGCCAGTGCTACTGGTCAGAGGCCGGGGCCAGGCTCCCTGATTCTGGCGGGCCTCCGAGCTGGACACACACAAGTGTATCTGTTGGCGTCTCTTGGTTCTGTAGCTAGAGTTCCCACATCCGCCTGTATTAGCCTGAGGATTGGGGAGTTTCATCTGCTAGACTTAGTCACCTGGTATCTTTTTCACGTGAGATCCCCTTTTTCCTGCCGTGGACAGCAGCCCACGGCCATTTCTGGGCACTAGGATTTTTCTTTCCCTAGAATAATTTTCTAGGATAATTCCACCAGAAAGTAGCGCCTTTCTCGCGGGAAGGCCTGGGGCAGCAGCAGCAGCATCCGGCGTCTCCCTCCTTCCAGAACGACAAGCTGAGCCGCAACGAGACGCAGATGGACGGCGACAGGTCCCTGAGGCTGGCGAAGGCCCTGCGGAACGCCACGCGCCAGGGTGGCGTGCTCTTCGGCAATGACGTGCGCACGGCCTACCAGCTGCTGGCCCGCGTCCTGCAGCATGAGAGCCAGCAGCAGGGCTTCGAGCTGGCCGCCACGCGCGACGTCAACTTCCACCAGGTACGAGGAGGCCTGTGCCGCAGCCGGGCGCGTGCGGTGTGGAGCCACGGCGTCTGGGCGCGGGAGTTGGTGCCCACGTGAAAGTCCGTCACGTTTGGTGTCCCTGCCTCAGGGGCCTAGCCCAGCAGCCGTTAGACATGCTTTGACAAGGGCAGCCACGGCCTGGAGCGTCTAACAGTGAGGGACCCCTGCTCATAGTGCCCTTTGTCTTTTTTCCTGTGCTTCTACTGGAGCTTGAACTCAGGGCCTCACACTCTTGCTTTTTTGCTCTAGGCTGGCACTCTACCACTTGAGCCACAACTCTACTACTGGCTTTTTGTGTGTGTGTCAGTTGTAGGGCTTGAACTCAGGGCCTGGGCTCTGTCCCCAAGCTCTTTTGCTCAAAGTTAGCCTTCTATCACTTCCAGTTTTCTGGTGGTTCCCTGGAGGTGAGTCTCTCAGACTTTCCTCCCTGGGTTGGAACTACGATCCTCAGACCTCAGCCTCCTGAGTAGCTGGGATGACAGACCTGAGCCGCTGGTGCCTCTGCGCCAGCTTTCAGGGTGGTTCGTGTGACAGCCCCGTATCTCTCCCCCATCCCTTCCAGTGAGTGTCTCCTACCCATTCACCTGGCAGGAAAGGAAACCGAGGCAGAGCTTGTAAGCGGAGGGCCCAGTGTTCATGGTGCACCCACACCCACCAAGTGTGGGCGTGAGCTGCCCCACAGCATCGCTGACCGTGTCCTGTGCTGTGGACACCACGGTCCCCCGCGTGCTCACTTTGCTGGCCCCTCCCACTCCCGCAAGCTCCGCCTATCCTGCACCAAGGAAGCCGTCGGACCCCAGCCGCGTCCTGTGGAGGGGCTGGCGAGGGATACGTAGCAGGCCGGGCGTGTGGAAAGGGCTGTGCGCATCACAGAGCCGCCTCGGGGTCCCTCCAGGCCCTGCCTCAGCCCCCGGGGTGCCCCTGCACCCCGCCATGCACAGAGCCGCCTCGGGACCCCTCCAGGCCCTGCCTCAGCCCACGGGGTGCCCCTGCACCCCGCCATGCACAGAGCCGCCTCGGGACCCCTCCAGGCCCTGCCTCAGCCCGCGGGGTGCCCCTGCACCCCGCCATGCACAGAGCCGCCTCGGGGTCCCTCCAGGCCCTGCCTCAGCCCACGGGGTGCCCCTGCACCCCGCTATGCACAGAGCCGCCTCGGGACCCCCCTCCAGGCCCTGCCTCAGCCCACGGGGTGCCCCTGCACCCCGCCATGCACAGAGCCGCCTCGGGGTCCCTCCAGGCCCTGCCTCAGCCCACGGGGTGCCCCTGCACCCCGCCATGCACAGAGCCGCCTCGGGGTCCCTCCAGGCCCTGCCTCAGCCCACGGGGTGCCCCTGCACCCCGCCATGCACAGAGCCGCCTCGGGGTCCCTCCAGGCCCTGCCTCAGCCCACGGGGTGCCCCTGGGCCCCGCTATGCACAGAGCCGCCTCGGGACCCCCTCCAGGCCCTGCCTCAGCCCGCGGGGTGCCCCTGCACCCCGCTATGCACAGAGCCGCCTCGGGGTCCCTCCAGGCCCTGCCTCAGCCCACGGGGTGCCCCTGCACCCCGCCATGCACAGAGCCGCCTCGGGGTCCCTCCAGGCCCTGTCCTCAGCCCACGGGGTGCCCCTGCGCCCCGCTATGCAGAGCCTCGGGCCTCGGCAGGTGTTGCTCGGATCGCCTCCCGGCCCGAGAGCATGATGCTGGCGTTGCCTCTCCACCTGGGGATCTTCCAGAACAAGTTTCCACACGGCTTTCCACCTTGGGTTGTGCCCCCAGCCCTGGCCGGGCGCTGGCTCCCGGCCGCGCACCGGCACGCGCCACACCACGCATCCCTGCGGGGTCACCGGCAGCGCCCGCGCTCCCCGGCACGGCCGATCCGCTGCGGTTCCCGTGCCTGTGCCCCCTGGGCCTCGTGGCACGTCTCGGGGTGCAGGGAAACCCCGCAGGCGCCCTCCTGGCTGCCGTGGCCTCGGAGATGACATCCCTGGCCGTCTCTCCTCCCCACCGGGGCCCAGCCTGGTCCTGGCCAGCCGACCACTTCCTAGAAGCCGGCTTGCTTCTGCTGCGTGACCAGGCCTCCACCTGAGGCTGAGTGCTGTCTGTCTGTCTGGCCAGGATGTGGTCCAGGCGGGCAGCGCTCTCCTGGCGCCGGCCACCAGGGCGTCGTGGGAGCAGATCCAGCGCAGCCAGGGAGGGGCCGCGCAGCTGCTGCAGCGCTTCGAGGCCTACTTCAGCAACGTGGCGCGCAACGTGAGGCGCACCTACCTCAGGCCCTTCGTCATCGTCACCGCCAACATGAGTAAGGGCCGCCGGCGGGAGCCCCCCCCAGCGAGGCAGGTGGGGCTGTAGCCTTCACTCCGCCACCAAGGAAAGGGAGGCCCAGGCTCTGTGCCCATTCCTCGTCTGGACCCCCAGGTGTGAGGGTTCTTGGGGAGGCTGGCGGCTCACGTTGACCCCCAGGCTCCCTGCACAGGGAGCGTTAGAGGCCGGAAGCCAAGGACGGGGTGGTCAGCAGAAGCAGACAGCACAGCACAAGCTCGCATGCCCACGTGCGCGGGGCGGGGGGGGGGAGGCCAGGGCGTCGGCATGGCTGTTCCCTGTAGGCAGAGAAAGTCAAGCACAGCTGCACCCATCCTAGACATCCTAGACCTCCCACCAACGCCCGAGAAGCCCCTGGGCCCCGGGCCCCACGCCACAGCAGGGGCCTTCCTCCTTCCCGGGCCCCGGGGCCCCACTCCACAGCAGGGGCCTTCCTCCACCCTGGGCCCCACTCCACAGGAGGAGCCTTCCTCCACCCTGGGGCCCACTCCACAGGAGGGCCCTTCCTCCTCCCTGGGCCCCACTCCACAGCCGTGGCCTTCCTCCTGGCAGGGCTAGGCCCCTGGCATCCATGATGCCAACCCACAGAGTCCTTGTGTTTGCTGGCCAGCCAAGAAGCGAGGCCCTAGAAAGCCTGGGCAAAAGGGGTGGAGGCTTGGCTCAAATGTAAGAGCCAGTGCCTAGCCAGTCAAGGATCTGAGTTCAGATTCCAGTCCTGAGAAGAGCTGGCTGCTCAGCGTGGCAGCCATCGAGTGACTTTGGGAGCTCCACGTCGCGCGTGACTGACCACTGTCCCCCAGTTCTTGCAGTCGACGTCTTTGACAAGTTCAACTTCACGGGTGCCCGCGTGCCGCGGTTCGAGGCCGTTCAGGACGAGCTCCCGAGAGGCTTGGAGTCCTTCGCGTCCTTCCCAGCGGACATCTTCAAGCCACCGGAGAGAAAAGGTGAAGCTGCCTCCAACCCCCGCCCCCCCCGCAGCCCTCCCCCCCGCCCACAACCCTCCCCCCGCCTGCAACCCTCCCCCGACAGCCCTCCCCCCACCTGCAGCCCTCTCCCCACCCGCAGCCCTCCCCCCATAGTCCTCCCCCCCACCTGCAGCCCTCCCCCCCACCTGCAGCCCTCCCCCCCCGCCCACAACCCTCCCCCAACAGCCCTCCCCCCACCCGCAGCCCCCCCTGCCCGCAGCCCTCCCCCCTGCCTGCAGCCCTCCCCCGACAGCCCTCTCCCCACCCCCCACAGCCCTCCCCCCCAACCGCAACCCTCCCCCCACCCACAACCCTCCCCCGACAGCCCTCCCCCAACCCGCAGCCCTCCCCCGACAGCCCTCCCCCCTGCCTGCAGCCCTCCCCCCAACAGCCCTCCTCCCACCTGCAGCCCTCCCCCCGACAGCCCTCCCCCCACCCGCAGCCCTCCCCCCACCCGCAGCCCTCCCCCGCACCTGCAGCCCTCCCCCCGACAGCCCTCCCCTCGCCCGCAGCCCACCCCCCGACAGCCCTCCCCCCACCCGCAGCCCTCCCCCCACCCGCAGCCCTCCCCCCCACCCGCAGCCCCCCCACCCGCAACCCTCCCCCCCACCCGCAGCCCTCCCCCCCACCCGCAGCCCTCCCCCCCACCCGCAACCCTCCCCCCCACCCGCAGCCCTCCCCCCCACCCGCAGCCCCCCCCACCCGCAACCCTCCCCCCCACCCGCAGCCCTCCCCCCCACCCACAACCCTCCCCCCCACCCGCAGCCCTCCCCCCCACCCGCAGCCCCCCCCACCCGCAACCCTCTCCCCCACCCGCAGCCCTCCCCCCCACCCGCAGCCCCCCCTGCCTGCAGCCCTCCCCGGAGGTGGTGTGCAGAGCCGTCCAGACAGTGTTCTGAGCAGAGCGAGTTGTGGTGGGTAGGTGTTCATGGCCTGCTCACCAGACCGCCAGAGGCAGAGCCAGAGCCGGCGTGGTGCCCAGGTCTTCTGGAAGGCCTGTTTCCGCCCTGCGCATTTTCCTCAGTGAAGTCTATGTACACATTTGTTCATAGCAACCCATAGAAGTGACTGGGGGGGTGTTTATGGGTGTGTTCCCATGTGTGTGCATCTTAGAAAAAGACTGCTTATATATGCTCATGGTGAGTGTGTGAGTGTTCCTCTTGTGCATGGATAAATGCATGGAACTCATGCATGTGTATATGTATGTGTATTTTGTTCATAAGCACACATGTATTTTATTTATTTTATTTTTTTTGCTGGTCGTGGGGCCTGAACTCTGGGCCTGGGCGCTGTCCCTCAGCTCTTCAGCTCAAAGCTAGTGCTCTACCACTTGAGCCACAGCGCCACTTCCGGCTTTTTCTGCTTATGTGGTGCTGAGGAATCGAACCTAGGGCCTCATGCATGCGAGGCAAGCGCTCTACCACTAAGCCACCTTCGCAGCCCCCACATGTATTTTATGCTTGACTATTTGTGTGTCTTGTATAGGTGCACAGGGAGGCATGTGTATACAATGTCTTCACTGATATATATATTTCATGTGTAGAAATGCATGAGTACATTTTCTACATGCCTATGTACAAGTGTGCATCCGTACACTTGGTTTGCATATTCTGTGTGCAGGTATACATGTGTAATTCTCTGAGTGTGTATGCCTTGTGTGTTCAAGATGCACACATACATTCTTTACCTGTATATTTCATTTGTCTGAATATGCATGTGTATACTCTGTGCAAGTATGCACAGGTGTGTTATCTGAGTATATTTCGTGAGCACACACACGGTATGTGTGTGTGTATCTGTTTTCTACGTGTGCAGATGTTTCACATGGTCAAGCACGGGCATGTGTGTTCTGCACACGCACGAGCATGTGTTCCTGGGTGCACACTCGTCAGCCTGCGTGTGCACGTGTGTTCCGCACTGTGTCCCTAGCAGAGGGCCCTGTCCCTGTCATCCTGTCATGTCTGCTCTCCGGTGGCATCTGGCCATCCCTCTCTGGCCTGTGAGCCCCGGCCTGGGACCCAGGAGCTTGTTATTTTGTGGTAGTCACGTCCCTGCCCAGGGACAGCCCCCTGGTGGCCCCTTGGCCCTCAGGTGGTGCTCATTCAGTGTGATCAGTCTGCTGACACCGGAGCTGGCCTGCACGGTACCAGTGTCACCATTTGGTCAGATAATGGACAGATTTGCTGGCCGCGACAAACCATAGACCCTCCGCCCCCACCCGTCCTCCGCTCCCCAGCTTTGCGGCAGCAGCCCGGTGTGGGGACCAGGAAGGGGTGGGGACAGACATCACTGCCCGACACCGCAGCTGGGCGTCTTCACAGTTTCAGGGCCCCACAGACCTTGTTCTGTTTTCTCCTCAATCTGCGCTCTGTGACTACACGGGATCCTAACTCCCCTGCCTGGCAGACACGGAGCTGCTCTGGTTTTGTTTTGGTTGGGTTGTGTTTGCTGTTGCTTGTGTTTTCATTTTTGGCGATCCTGGGATTTGAGCTCAGGGCCCCAGGCAGGAGCAGTGCCTCTGAGCCATGCCTCAGCGCCTCCCCTCCCCTTTTATGGCACTCATCAACTTTGAGCAGGTCTCATTTCCTTCCTGAGGTGTGCCTGGCTGGCAGCCTGTCTATCTGAGGTTTCCTGGTGTAGCTGGGACTACAGGTATGCGTGACTGTCCCCAGCACTTGGTTAGAAAGGGTCTCATAAAGTTTTTCTGCCTGGGCTGGGCTGCCTTTGAACTGCTAAAACCCAGTTTTAGCTTTCTAAGTAGCTGGGATCACAGGCATGTACTTCTATGAATCTTATCTCTGAGAACTCCACTCTTCTAGAGTCTTCCTAGAAGAGAAGTTGTAGTATTTGTCATTGTGTCACTCAATGTAGTCTCCTTAAGGTTAATTCATGTTGTAGCAGGTATCAAAATTCCCTTCCTTTTTAGGGTTGCATACTAACCCACTGTGTGGAATGGTTTTTCCGCATTATTTGTCTTTTCACTGTGAGTGGATCTTGGGTGGCTTCCCTTCTTCGGCTTCTGTGAGTTAGCTGTGAATGTGGGTATGAAAATATCTGCTCAAGGCCCTTTTGTGCACACGGCCCCCTGGGAGGGGCCGGATCCCGTGGCGTCCGTGTGGTGCTCTGAGGAGCGACCATGCCGCGTTGCCTGGGACCTCTGCTGGGTTTCAGAGGTGGTGGCTGAGCTGAAGGCAGCGTGGTGCGGGTGCAGAGCCTCCAGCGCGGCCCTCATGCCCCGCGCTCCCGTTGCAGAGGGCCCCGGGGTGAGGGCAGCCATCCAGAGAGCCGTCCCGACAGCCCGCCCAGAGCCCGGGCCCAGCAGGCGCAGGAGGCACCCGGAGGACCCTGGCCAGTTTGCTGTCGCTCTGGTCATTGTTTACCGGACACTGGGCCAGCTCCTGCCTGAACGCTACGACCCGGACCGTCGCAGCCTTCGGTGAGGCCCGGGAAGGGGACCCAGGGACAGCCGTGGCCCCCGGGCACGAGACTTCCACAGTCAAATCCCCCCAGCACGCCCTTCCCCGTGACCTCTCGCGTGGCCTGGGCCGGGGGGGACCCGTGGCGTGGCGGGATCCGGCGCTCTGCCTAGACATTGCGCCTTGTCTTCTGAGCTCGCCAGGTGCCACTCCCTGTGTGTGCCCCCCTCCTGTCTGAGGAGCCCTGCCCTGTCCCTGCGCCCCACCCAGGGGGTCGTAGGTGGCACTTGTGGGTGGCCCCGCCCACTGCTGGCCCCGCCCACTGCTGGCCCCGCCGCAGGGCCCCTCGGCTGGTGCGCGGGACGGAGCCCCCGCCCAGGCTCTACCTTGCACACCCGTGGCCGTGGCCACGTCTCATCGCCCCGCGTGGGCCTTCTCCTGGTTGAAACATTTCTGGAGGCCCCGTCGGCCCAGAGGGGACCGTCTCTGTGCCCTCAGGCCCGGCTGGGCCCCGTGTCCGTGGCCGCGCCTCGGTGGTTCTGGCCCTCAGGACGGTCACAGCCAGGTTTTAAGCAAGCACCTCTAACGTGCCCGCGCCGTGGCCTGTCTCCCGCAGCCTTCCCAGCCGGCCCACCATCAACACGGCCGTGGTGAGCACCCTGCTGTACAGCGAGGGCCCCCCGCCCCCCGCGCCCCAGCCCGGGCCCGTGCTGGTGGACTTCGCCCTGCTGGAGACGGAGGAGCGGACCAAGCCCGTCTGTGTGTTCTGGAACCATTCCCTTGAGTGAGTGGCACCTCGCGGGGAGGGAGCGCCTCCCAGGGGCCCCGCGGGGTCCCCAAGGCCGCCGCAGAGGCTCCCGGGAGGGCCGGCTCTGCTGCCCAGTTCTCCTCTCCTAGCCTCTTGGTACAAAGGCCTCCTTCCCCTTCTCCTTTTCCTCCTCCTCCTCTTCTCTTCCTCCTCTAGAAGTGGAGAGTCCAGAGACACACGTGTATAGACATGTGCACACAGGCTCGCGCATGCACACACACAAAGACATGCCAGCATTGACGTGTAGATATTCACACGCATGCATGAAGACACAGTTGTACACAGTGATGCATGCACACACACAGACATGGAGCTGTGCACACATGCACGCACACACACGCACACGCACGCACACGCACGCGCACGCACGCACACACACGCACACGCGCACACGCACACACGCACACACACGTGCACACACACACGCACACACACACACGCACACACACGCACACACACAGCACACACACGCACACGCACACACACACGCGCACACACACACACGCACACCACACACACCACACACACACACGCACGCACACACGCACACGCACACGCACACACGCGCACACACACACACACGCACACACACACACGCACACACACACGCACGCACACGCACGCACACACACACGCACACACACACGCACACACACACGCACACACACACGCACACGGGCAGCAGTGGGGCCCCTGGCCTCAGCCGCATCGCCAGCCGTGCAGGCCGCCCCTGCCCAGCGGGGGTGGGAAGGCGGCCAGAGGCCGTGCGTGTGCGTGGAGGAGTTGTGGGTGAGCCGCGGTGTCACCCCTGGCTGTCCTGTGTCTGCTGTGTCTCCTGTCCCCACGCAGGGGAATCCGCGGGGGGCCTGGGCTGCGGGGGGCCTGGGCCGCGGGGGGCCCGGGCCGCGGTGGGCCTGGGCCGCGGTGGGCCTGGGCCGCGGGCGTGGCTCAGTGTCGGGGGTCACGTTTGGCCCAGGGCAGGGCAGACACCTCCCTGGGCCCCAGGTGCCTCCCATATCCAAGGCTTGTCTGGATCCACAGGTAGAAATTTCTACACCATGGACCACGGACCACACCTCTGCTTCTCTCAAAGGGGAGCAGAGCCACCGTGCGTGGGGGCCGAGTGAGCAGGCTCACGCCGGGGCACGCGCCCCACCACCGCGTCTGACAGAGCAGACTGCGGGGCTCAAAGGAGCGATACAGGGCCTCCTTTCCCAGGGAGGGCGGGGCCCGGCCGGCGTCTGGCGGCCGTCTGGCTGTGGTCACTTGTTTGAATCCTAGCAATTAGCTCTGGCTTGAGTGACCTGCCCCTGGCTTTGTGTTGCTCCTCTTATCCCCCAGATCTGAATGCTCTGGGCAGCACTTCCCATTTTACAGATTAGTAAACTGAGGATCAGAGTGGTTGTACAATGGTTTCCCAGAGTTGGGTGGGGCAGGGCCCTTGTAACCGCTGGTTACCACAGGGCGGGAAGGGGGGAGCAGGCGGAATAATTGGGCCCTGGCTTTGAGGCGTCTTCTGTAATCATTGTGCAACCTGGAGATGAAAGAGAGTCGTAAGAGGAGGTTTTGTTTCCGAGCTCAGGGGAACCGGGGCAGCCGCAGAACAAAGCTATTGTCTCAGCCACGGCCAAGCCCACGGGGCCAGAGGCTGGGGACACGGCCCTTCAGGCTTCCCTGCTATTGGCGGTGGAGACCCGGGGGAGCCCTGAGCAGCGTGGAGGGCTGGGAGCCCTCGCAGGGTCCCGGGCAGCCGCTGCGTCCAGGGCGGTGGAGGGGAGGGGTACACATGGGGTGCTGCCGGGGTGAGGTCCACGCGAGGAAGTGTTCTCTGTATTTTCACTTCCCTTCCAGTCTGGCCCGGCGAGAGGCCCCGGGGCCCGGGCCGGGCAGAGGCTGCGCCCGCCCCTGTGGACGCCAGCATCTTCTCACCCCGTGTCTCCCCTCCTCAGCGTCGGCGGGACCGGAGGCTGGTCGGCCAAGGGCTGTGAGCTCCTGTCCCGGAACCGGACGCACGTCACCTGTCGGTGCAGCCACATGGCCAGCTACGCGGTGCTCATGGACATCTCCAGGCGCGAGGTGGGTCCCGCCCCGGCCTCCTGCCCAAGGCCGCGTCCACCCCCAGCTGCCTGCTCCGCACGCGTCACTCACTAAAAGCCGGGCTCGAGAAATGGGTGAGGACGCCTGTGCCAAACCCCAGGAAAGGTGTTCTCAGCAGCAGTGGCGATCACCCCTGTAATCTTAGCTCCCAGGATATGAGGAAGGTGGTTCAAAGCCAGCCCAAGCTTATCTCTAACCACCAAAAAAGCCACACGCGGAGGTGGCACAAGTGGTCGAGCGCCAACCTTGAACACAAAAGCGAGAGTGCAAGGCCCTGAGTTTAAGCCCCAACGCTGGCCCACAAAGGAGGGAACTCGGGGACCCCACATTGTAGATGAAGATCATGCAGTAGACCCCATCCCCAGACCATGCCTCCTGCACGCCCGGAAATGTGAGGAAACAGACACAGAACACGGAGGGCGTCTCCCGGCCACGCTCGCCCAGGACAGGAGCCAGGGCCCCAGCCACGCCGTGGACAGTGTGGCTTGTGAAGCCCAGGGCTGTGAAGGATCAGGGGTCCCGGGGCTTGGTGGGCCTGACTCCACTCACCTGGTGGAGGTAGAAAGTGGGTGCGGCCAGAGGCCTGCATGCCAGTGCCCATCCCTCCCAGGTGGGATGTGGCCTGGGGCAGCCCTGGAGCCTGCCAGGGCCTCCTGGTGTCGGGGGCCTGGCTTCCACTCCCGCAGGATTGCCTTTCAGAGAGGTACGGCTGAAGCCGCAGCAGCCACCAGACCCCACGCCTTGCTCTCAGGAAGGGCGATACTTGTAGGCCGCCGGTCCCGGGGCCTGGCCTAGAGGGTCTTTGTGGGTGGTGTTTTTTGTTTAGATTGGGAGAGAGTTGGTCCCTCCTGGCAGGAAGCTAGGCAGTGCTGGGAGCAGATACGCACCCTGGGAAAGCCAAGGTTTAGGCTACTCAGGAGGCTGAGACCTGAGGATCGCAGCCCAAAGTCAGAGCAGGCAGACCCATCCAAGAGTCACTTCTATTAGCCAGCAAAAAGCCAGAAGCGGAGCTGTGGCTCAAGTGGTAGAGTACCATCCTTGAGTGGAAAAGCCAAGTGAAACCATAAGGCCCAAAGTTCAATCCCCAGGACCAGCACCAAAACAAACAAAAATGGAAGCAGAGTATGAGACGGAGGTACCCAGGCCTGCGAAGCTGAGAGGCGTGGGGCCTGCGGCAGACTCCCAGTCCAGCCGGCCTCGGCGTGAGCTCAGGCCCCCGGACCAGCCCAGCCTTGGCCTCGCAGGACCCCTGGGCAGCCCACGGCTCACAAGTGCATCGCAGGCAGCACCTTCTGGGAGGTTCTGGAGCCTCTGGCGGTGCCTGAATGTGGGGACACTGGGTTCTGGTTGAAGTCGCACGTGCAGAGGCACAGGAGCCAGGGCAGGGCACTTGGAAAAGGCGGAGGCCTCACGCCGGCGCCACACGCCGGCAATCCAAGACTGGTTTGTTGTTCTTAAAAACAGAAAGGAGGTATGGGATCTGGAAGTTTGTTTACTTGTTTTCCTGCTGGTTCTGGGGCTTGAGCTTGGAGCGTGGGCACTGTCCCTTAGCTTTTTTTGTTCAAGGCTGGCACTCTACCATTTGAGTCACACCTCCACTTCAGGCTTTTTGGTAGCTAATTGGAGATAAAAGCCTCATGGACTTTTCCTGCTGGGGCTGGCTTTGAACTGTGATCCTCAGCTCTCAGCCCCAGAGCCCCTGAGTAGCTGGGATCACAGGCGTGAGCCACTGGTGGCTGGCTTTGAACTGTGATCCTCAGCTCCCAGCCCCAGAGCCCCTGAGTAGCTGGGATCACAGGCGTGAGCCACTGGTGGCTGGCTTTGAACTGTGATCCTCAGCTCTCAGCCCCAGAGCCCCTGAGTAGCAGGGATGACAGGCGTGAGCCACTGGTGGCTGGCTTTGAACTGTGATCCTCAGCTCCCAGCCCCAGAGCCCCTGAGTAGCTGGGATGACAGGCGTGAGCCACTGGTGGCTGGCTTTGAACTGTGATCCTCAGCTCCCAGCCCCAGAGCCCCTGAGTAGCTGGGATTACAGGCGTGAGCCACTGGTAGCTGGCTCTTATTTTCTTATTGTGGCAAAATAGCAGATTGAAGGCGCCACTTGCGCAGGGTTAGTGGCGTTCTGCGCTGGTCCACCCCCACCACGGCCTGGCCCTCGCTGCCTCCCCCAGCCGAGCTCCTTCACACGCCCCACCGTGCGTCGGTTGTGGGACTCATACCACCCCAAGTCACATCCTCGACACTGCGCTTTCTACCAACCCGATCACCTAAGACCCAATTGCTTATTTTGTCTCTTGTGCAAAAGCTGGGTCTGAGCCAGGCCCTTCCTTGCCCCTGCCTTTAACCACCCTGCCCACAGCACGGGGAGGTCCTGCCTCTGAAGATCGCCACCTACACGGCCGTATCCGTGTCGCTGGCAGCCCTGCTGGTGACCTTCGTCCTGCTGACCCTGGCCCGCACGCTGCGCTCCAACCTGCACAGCATCCACAAGAACCTCACGGGGGCGCTCTTCTCCTCCCAGCTGGTCTTCGTGGTTGGCATCAACCGCACAGAGAACCCGGTGAGGCCTGGGCTCCCCTCCCGCCCAACCCCAGGGATCTCCCACGCTGCCACATGCCGTGTCCTCTGGGTGTCCTGGGAGGCTGGCACTTTGGGAGGGTCTGAGAAGCTGCTGCCCCTGCTCCCACAGCTGGACCCAGAGGGGTCCCCACGGCAGCCGGGGTTCTGGGACCCACACTGGCTTTGTGCCCCAGGGGCCTTGGCTTCAGTGGGACCATGGGAGCCACAGCAGGAGGGCCAAGGGCTCCATGTGCACAGAGACCCACCCGTGGCAATTACAGTCATGGCCAGGCACGAGGGGCTCACGCCTGTAAACTTAGCTACTCAGGAAGCTGAGATCCAAGGATCACGGTTCAAAGCCAGCCTAGGCAGGAAAGTCTGTAAGACTCTTCAATAAATACTCATAAAAAGCCAAAAGTGGTGCTGTGGCTCAAGTAGGGGAGTGCTGACCTTGAGCAAAAGCAGCTCAAGGACAGCGCCCAGGCCCAGAGTTCAAGCCCCAGGACCAGCACCAAAAAAAAAAAAAAAGGAAGGAAGGAAAAGAAAAGAAATCAGTCGTTTGGCAGATCCTAGGCTGTGTGCTGTGCTCAGGCTTCCGGGGTAGAAGGCGTCAGCCACGTGCACTGTAAGTGAGCAGTCATGGTACTGCCCCCCCCCCCCCGCCTCTGCCCTCTCCGTGTCCCGGGACAGCCCTGCACCTCCCCAGAGGGGCGGCACAAAGCCTCGAACACGCCACCACGTCATGGCGCCAGCAGGTGCTTTCTGGGCGTAAGCAGGGACAGAGAAGAAAAAGAAGCTGGCAGAAGAGTAAACAAGCAGGCCGGGAGGCGACGGGAGAGGAAAGATGGGGTGGCGGCTTGGTGCGGGTGAGGGCAGGCGCCGTGTGCGCTTGTGGGGTGCTGTGTGCGACCTTTGAGTGCCCGGGGTCACGGAGCCCGGTGCGGTGGGCAGCTCGGGGTCGGGCGCACACGTGCAGCTGGTGGGTGTGTGGATGGACAGTAACCAGGCGTCCTTTTCAAGGCCGTCGATTCCTCGTGGGGCCTCTGAGCCCTCCGACGGCCCCGCCCTGGGGGGTCACACACAGCACTGACACAGCGGGCACCAGCGCCCGCCTCACCCGCCCGCCAGCCTTGGGGCTCTGGTGAATTGTGTCCACCCAAACAGTGTAGGAGCGCCGAGCGCTCCGCCCAGGCTTCCATCCTGCCTGAGCCTCCCAGTCAGATCCCCAGACAACCCAGCTGATGCGGGGAGTGTAGCGACCGAGACTACCTAGGCGAAGATCATACGGCCACACTGGGGTCTGGGTGGCCACTGGCCTGAAGCTGTTGGAGGAGCTGCGTGAGGAGGAGGAGGAGCTGTGTGGGGAGGAGCAGCTGAGTGAGGAGGAGGAGCTGTGTGAGGAGGAGGAGGAGGAGGAGGAGCTGTGTGGGGAGGAGGAGCTGTGTGAGGAGGAGGAGGAGGAGGAGGAGCTGCGTGAGGAGGAGGAGCAGCTGTGTGGGGAGGAGGAGCAGCTGTGTGGGGAGGAGGAGCTGCGTGAGGAGGAGGAACTGCGTGAGGAAGAGGAGGAGCTGTGTGAGGAGGAGGAGGAGGAGAGGAGCTGCATGAGGAGGAGATTGGAGCTGAGGCAGGACAGCCAAGGAGCTTTTAGGGACTTAATAAAATGAAGGCAGGAGGGTCCTATAGGAGATACTAGTTCTTTTCAGAAACTCAAAGTAAATTTCTAAGAATGGCGATAGGAAACAGTGGAAATATCACTCGGAATTTGGGGTGTGGTAAGAGCAGAACTTCAGGGTGACTTATGGTCTGGCAGTTGAAGGTAAGGGCAAGCGTGGTGGTTGATGATTGAAAGGGAAGGAGGGGAACCCGTGGGCCGAGCCTAGGAGTTTCAGGGGAAAAAACCAAAAGGACGCAGAGGAAGAAGAAAGGAGAGAGAAATCAACCAAATGGAGAGGAAACATAACCAGCATGGTAGATCAAGGATAGATCCCAGCTGGGCAAGAGTCCCAGCTACTTGGAAGCAGAGGCAGGCGGCTCTCGAGTTTGAGGTCAGCCTGGGCAGCGCTAGCGAGAGGAGCATAAAAACAAGTTGCAGGGGCTGGGGGCGTGGTTCAGATGGTAGAGCCTCCGCCTAGCAGGCGCAGGCCTAGGGCTAATGCCGGGCCACAGAAAAGGAAGGGAAAGGAAGCAAGGCAGGGAGGAAGGAAGAAAAACATCTCTAGTAGGTCCATCAAAGGAAAACGAAACGTAAAGCCATCTGTCACGGATGCCACGACTGCTGTAAATGGCCAGGCACTGGTGATTTACACCTGTCATCACAGCTACTCAGGATGCCAAGCTCTGAGGATCGCGGTTCAAAGCCAGCCTAGGCAGGAAAGTCTGTGAGACGCTTACCTTCTGTTAACCACCAAAAAGTTGGAAACAGAGCTGTGACCGAGGTGGTAGAGTGCCAGTCCTGAGCAAGGTCCTGACACAAGGTCCCCAGCCCAAAGTCCAGCACTGCGCCCAAAGAAAAAGAAAAACAGGAGAACTTCCTACATCTGGTCATGGTTAGGAGGAAAGGGAACCCCCTGACTGAATGGACCTAGTAGAGGGCTCTTCAGTGTGTGCAGTAGTATGGGTAGCAGGTGGCATCTGCAGGGCTGCGTGCCCCACGGCCAGGGGCCCTGGCCAGGGCAGGAGGGGCGGTGAAGAGTGCGAGGCTGTGGGTTATTAGATCGCACCGGTGCTTCTCCACCTCCAACAATCTCCGGGCACGTGGTGAGGAGGGAGGGAGGGAGCTCACCTGTGAACACTCAGCAGGTGACCCTGGGCGTCCTGGCCAGGTGTGTCTGCGTGTGGCTACCGCAGCCTGTGGAGGCACAGGGCAGGGGGAGGGCAGGGCAGGGGGAGGGGAGGGCAGGGGGAGGGGGAGGGCAAGGGGAGGGGAGAGCAAGGCAGGGGAGGGGAGAGAAGAGGAGGGGAGGGCAGGGCAGGGGGAGGGCAAGGGGAGGGGAGGGGAGGGCAGGGCAGGGGAGGGGAGGCGCAGCCCGGCAGGTCAGGCTGTGGGAAGGAGAGCTGCCGCTGGCTGCCACAGGGGCCCTGGGGGGAGTCCAGAGGGAAAGGAAGCTGGAGGACTCAGGACAGGCTGGTTGTGGCCCCAGGAGGTCCCAGAGGAGCGGGTGGCACCGCCAGGCGCCCAGGACAGTGACAGCAGCGACATTTGTGATGATAGGCGGATGGCTGAAAGTGCTTTTCTGTATTTACTCAGAACACGAGGCCCCGGGGCACTGACTGCGGATTCGCGGGAGGGCGGCCAGGGCGCTGTGTGCCCCCAGAGCTGGGGGCAAAGCGCGGCTTCTCAGGGGAGAGAGCCCCGGCTCAGATGTTCAACCCCCACAGGGGCTAGCGCTGAGACCCGCCTGTGCCACCACCGCTGCCCGCCAGGCAAGCTAGCGCACGCTCCTGTTACGCAGTGACTCCAAAAGGCCAAGGTCACCCGACCATCGAGCCCCTGCCTCGCACGGGGCCACATCTTGTCTGGGGCAGGGATCCGTCTTCGAGAGCTGTCATGCTATGCTTGCTCCTGCTACCCCCCGCCCCGCGCCCCGTCCCTACGGGGTTCCAGGACCCCACGGATGCCGAAGTAGAGGAGGTTCTAGTCTGTGAAGTAGGACTTCCCGCATCGCAATCTCGGTTGTACCCACTGTGGCACTGTAGATCCGTCCTGCAACCTCAGACCTGGCGCCGTAGTTGTTGCGCTGCTCCGTTCAGGGCACAAGAAAGGTCTGTATACATTCGCTACACGCACAGTTCTGTGCGTCCGACCTTTCCTATCCTGGGATATACAATCCTCAGATACAAGGACCAGGCGTGAAGCCTGCGGGAGACCCAGCGTCGTCACGTGCCGGCGGGGGAAGCTGTGCGGTCAGGGAGGGCCAGCGGATCCCTACGGCCAGGCGGGGCTGCGAGCTCTCTGGGGATCCAGGCTTCCAGACCTTTAGCCCTTCGTCAGGGGGCGCCATCTTCTGTTCACCTGCAGCATGGCGCCCTGCAGAAGCTTTTGCATGTGTATGTTCTAGAAAGAGGGAAGGTGGTTCAGTGGTACAGCGCTTGCCTTGCATGTCTGAGGCCCTGGGTTCGATTCCTCAGCACCACATAAGCAAAAAGAAAAAAGCCGGAAGTGGTGCTGTGGCTCAAGTGGTAGAGCGCTAGCCTTGAGCTGAAGAGCTGAGGGACAGCGCCCAGGCCCAGAGTTCAGGCCCCACGACCAGACCCCCCAAAAAAAAGAAAGAAAGAGGGAGGAGCCTGGGGGATGGTGGGTGGAGGCCAGAGCAGGGGCCAGCAAAGCAGCCAGGATGGTGTGTTCCCGTGGGCATGGTGGGTGAGGGAGGCCCAGAACCAAGGACGGAGGGGAGGAGGCGTTGGGTGGCGTGAAGGGCTGGGGAGTCGGGGTGAGAACTCAGAGTCTGGGGACACTGAAGCACAGACCTGGACCAAGAGTAGAATAAAAAAAGATGCAGGTGACCGGTGCCTGTGGGTATAGTCCGGGCTGCTCCTGAGACTAAGAGCCGAGAGCTGAGGGCCCCAGCTTGAAGCCGGGCTGGGCAGGAGAAGAGTCCATGAGACTCTTGTCACCAATGAACTAGCAAGAAATGGAAGTGTGGCTCAAGTAGTAGGGCGCCAGCCTTGAGCGATGAAGCTCAGTGCGTGCACGAGGCCCTGAGTTCGAGAGCCCCAAATACTGGCACAAAATTAACTTTGCCCAGGCAAAGTTGGTGAACTTGGTAGTTTCCCAGAAAAGCCATAGGAAGGCTTTGGGCCTATCAGGAGCAAGGACCAAATCTCCCAGGCTCCTCAGGTGAGGGTCTGGCCAGGGCTGGCCTGGGGAGCCCGTGCCAGCGCCTGCTCCCGGGGCCGGGGGTTCCCCCGCCCCCCTCGTGCATGGGGCTCTCTTAGGGGTGAGAGGCGCCTCGCAAGCCCTTCCCGCGTGCTCCTGCGTGGTGTGGACAGAGGAGAAGCAGCTCCCGGCCTGCCTGCCAGGAGGTCTCCCGGGGACGCCGGGAGGAGGTGTGCAGGGCCGGGCCGGGCACGGGCCCGGCTCCCAGTCCTGTCTCCGGAGAGGCTTTTCACCCCGCAGAGCCCGGCGGGCTGAGAGGATTGACGCGCCCTTGGCATTGTGTCTTTGCTCTGCATCTGGACAGTGTGGCTCCCTCGGTGCTGGGGTGTGCACACACCTCATCACCAGGGCCAGGCTTCTAGCACTTTCCTCTCCACCCCCAAACAGGAGTTCTGTGGGTTTGCTTTTTGCACTACTTAGAGCAGTACTCCAGCCAGCCTCCTCGCCCCCTTGGTTTCCCTAGAGCGGTGTGCGATCCGCTCAGGAAGCCAGGGGTGCGGGGGTGCGGGGGTGCAGGGGTGCGGGGGTGTGGGTGGCTTCCTTGGCCTGGATTCGCCCCCTGCAGTTGGTTTCCTGCACAGAGCCTAGGGCGGGTCCCAGCCGGAGCCTTCCCGCCTTCCTCCTCCGTCCTGAGGCATGCCAGATCTGCCACGCTGCGACTTCCAGGGTCTGTTTCTAGGGAGCTCCCGGCTGGCACCGGCTGACCTCACCGCCCACAGCCCTGTCACGAGGCCTCCAGCCTGTGCTGCTGACCTGTCCCCTGGGGTGCAATGACCTGGTGCTGGCCTGCATCCTGTTAGGAGAGGTTTCTATCACCTGCAGGTGTCTGCTAGGGGCCTCTCTAGGGGAGCCATGGCCTGATGCTACCAGAGGCCCTGTCACGCTTCTCTGGGCCACATCTGGGTTGCTTTTTTTCCTGGAATTTGAACTCAGGGCCTAGAGTTTGCCATGCAGGTGTTCTACCGCTTCAGGCATACCCCAGTTCGGGCTTGCTTTGGGTTTTTGTTGGTGGTGGTGGTGGTGGTGGTCATGGGGCTTGAACTCTGGGCCTGGGCGCTGTCCCTGTGCTCTTCAGCGCAAGGCGAGCGCTCTACCACTTGAGCCACAGCGCCACTTCTGGTTTTCTGAACAGTTTATTGGAGATAAGAGTCACACAGACTTTCCTGCCCGGGCTGGCTCTAAACCTCGATCCTCAGATCTCAGCCTCCTGCGTAGCTGGGATGACAGGCGTGAGCCCCGGCGCCCGGCTGCTTTGGTAATTTTTCAGGTGGACTTCATGTGTTTGCCTGCGCTCTTCTCACACAGCCGGGCTCACGGGCGCACGCCAGGACTCTGACGTGGGGCTCTCTAGCTGGCCACCCAGGCTGGCAGGAACTATGATCTGCTCTTCTCCCTCCCGAATCCTTGGGATTCCAGGCATGAGCCACTAGGCACCATTTCTACAGTGGTTTTTTAAACTCCTTTAAACTGCATGTCAATGTTTAAAAAATTGGAATCATCTCAGAACATCTGTATTTCGAACGTTTGAGGACGGACCGCTTCACCCCTGCTCAGCCCCGAGCGGCCCCCACTCCTGGTGGCAGTGGTCCGAATGTGGGCAGGGCCGCCGCGCCTCACGGCTGTCCACGCTCAAACCCGAGATGCTGAAATCACGCAGCGGGCCCCGGAAGCCCTCACGTTGCAGAGTGGCTTGATTTGTCGGCTCCTCGCACCCCCCCCCCCATCCGTTTCGCTTGCACATCCGCGTGGCTGCGGCGGGGCTCGCCCGCACCCTGCCCGCGTGCCCGGGCCTGTCCCCAGCCCCGCGGGCGCGTGCTGAGCCCCGGCCTCTCCGCAGTTCCTCTGCTCGGTCGTGGCCATCCTCCTGCACTACGTGTACATGAGCGCCTTCGCCTGGACGCTGGTGGAGCACCTGCACGTCTACCGCATGCTCACCGAGCTGCGCAACATTGACGCCGGGCCCATGAGGTTCTACCACGTGGTGGGCTGGGGCATCCCAGCCATTGTTACAGGTGAGCCGCGTGGAGCGGGCGCCGGCGGTGGGCACCCACACGCCAGGCTGGGACCCACCGCCCCGAGGGCGGGCAGGACGTGCTGGCCAGAGGGACAGCACGGCTCAGGGAGGGAGGAAGCAGCAGGAAGCACACCATCCTAACATTCAGATGAGGGTAGTGGCGGGGAGGGCATGGAGCAGCTGGTCGGGTGGGGAAGCCCAGGTCGGAGCCGCCAGGCACCGCTGAGCACCAAGCCCCCAAACCGTACCCTGCTGGTGGTGCGTGGCATGCCCTCTTCTCCTGGCTGGTCCTTGGGTGGCCAGCAGACAGCGGGATCTTGTCGGCCCCCACGTGCACCTGGCATGGCCGGTGTACACACACGTACGTGTGGTGGTGTACGTGTGCACGGGTCTAGATGCGTATATATGCACATGCGTGTATCGGCCCCCCGTCCCCCGGGCGACACCGCCCTGCTACGAGTCTCAGCCCTTCCCCCCTCACACCTGGGTCCCCGTGGCTCCCGGCCTCTGCAGGGCTGCCGGCAGGGCTGCCCCAGCTGCTCAGGGCTGCTCCCAGCTCTTGTCTCCGCGGTCCCGCGGCTGGCCTCGCGCCTCTCCTCCCCCCGTGGGTCGGTGGACTTCAGGCTCTGTGCTCCTCACTCTTCTCTGACATGTCCAGGACTGGCTGTTGGCCTGGACCCCCAGGGCTACGGGAACCCCGACTTCTGCTGGCTGTCCCTTCAGGACACCCTCATCTGGAGCCTGGCTGGGCCCATTGGAGCCATGATCCTCGTGAGTGCCGTTCTCGGGGTCACCAGTTCCTTGCGTGGGTCTGGGGGGCAGAAAGGAGTGACCTCAGACCATGGCTCCACTGGGAAAGGCAGTGCCAGCCATGGGGTGGCTGCGCCCGCAGGCTGGGGCCCAAGGCCTCTCGTCGGCCATCGCTCCTGAGACGCGGGGAAGACCCACTGACAGGCTGGTGAAGACTGGCTTGGCCAACAGGAAGAGTCAGCCACCAACTGTTGTTGTTTTTCCAGATCAATACAGTCATTTTCGTCTTGTCTGCAAAGGTTTCCTGCCAAAGAAAACACCATTACTATGAAAGAAAGGGGGTTGTGTAAGTTGGGGGCTGAACTTGACTACTGGGATAGGATTCATTGAGCTAAATGGCTGGATGGATGAGTGGATGGATGGATGTATACAAATGGATAGATGGATAGATGGGTAGGTGGATGTGTGGCTGGCTGGCTGGGTGGATGATAGATGGATGGATGGGTGGATGGGTGGATGTATACAAATGGATGGGTGGATCATGGGTAGGTGGATGTGTGGCTGGCTGGGTGGGTGGATGATGGGTGGATGGGTGGATGGGTGGGTAGATGATGGATGGATGGATGGGTGGATGTATACAAATGGATGGGTGGATCATGGGTAGGTGGATGTGTGGCTGGCTGGGTGGGTGGATGATGGATGGATGAATGGATGGGTGGATGGGTGGGTAGATGATGGATGGATGGATGGGTGGATGGGTGGATGTATACAAATGGATGGGTGGATCATGGGTAGGTGGCTGTGTGGCTGGCTGGGTGGGTGGATGATGGATGGATGGATGGATGGGTGGCTGGGTGGGTGGATGATGGATGGATGGATGGGTGGATGGGTGGATGTATACAAATGGATGGGTGGATCATGGGTAGGTGGCTGTGTGGCTGGCTGGGTGGGTGCGTGAGGGGATGAGTGGCCAGATGGCTGAATGGATTGATGGGCTGGTGGATAGGTGGAAGGGTGAGTGACTGGGTAAGTGGGTAAATGATGGATAGATGTATGAAGAGATGGATAGATGGTGGAGGGATGGGTAGATGATGGATGGATGGGTCGGTGGGTGGATGGGTGGCTGGCTGGCTGGATATAAATGGATGGATGGATGGGTGGGTGGATGGGTGGCTGGCTGGGTGGGTGGATGATGGAAAGATGGACAGGTGGATGTATGGATGGATGGGTGGATAGATGAGTAGATAGAGAGCTGTTGCGTGTGTGTGCTGAGGAGTCCATAAAGTGCCCCTGCCCAGCGGGCCAGGCTCCTCAGCGGCTCACTCGCCAGCCTGTGGACTCACCCCCCCCCCCCCCCCCCGCCCCTGCAGCTCCCTGCTGAGGACGGCCTTTGTCCTGCTGCTGCTCGTTAGCGCCACCTGGCTGCTGGGGCTGCTGGCCGTGAATGGCGACACGCTCACCTTCCACTGCCTCTTTGCGGCCTTCAGCTGCTTGCAGGTAGGTGTGGTGGGCGCATGCCGGGCCAGCACGAAGGCCGTCAGAGTCACTTGGAAGGACTAAGGGCTGCCAGGTAGTGATTTGGGACACAGTGTTGGGGACCACTGGTGGCCAAAGGCTGTGGACTAGTATGGGGACCTGTTGCCTCTAACATGTCTGCCTCCATCCTGCCCAGGTATCTCAGCTTTTTGTTTGTTTTTAAGCTGGAATTGGGGCTTGAACTGGGGGCCAGGGCACTACTCCCTACCTCCCCCCCCCAACCCCCCGAAGGTTAGCACTCTTATCATTTGAACCACACCTCCCTTCCAGTTTTTTTAGTGATTAAAGTCTTGCCATTAGAGATAAGAGTCTGCCTGGGCTGGCCTCACACGGTGACCCTCAAATCTGCCCCGGCGCCTCAGGGCCCAGCCTGGGAAGCAGCGCCCTCTGGAGGGGAGGCCGGGCGGAGGCAGCCGTTCCCAGCACTGAACTGCCGCCCGCTCCCTCCAGGGCCTCTTCGTCCTCCTGTTCCACTGCCTGTTCCACAGGGAGGTGCGGAGGCACCTGAGGGCCGCACTGGCTGGGAAGAAGCCGCACCTGGAGGACGTGTCCCCCACCAAGGCCACCCTGCTGACGGTAGGAGCTGCCTGGGGGGGGGGCGAGGGCCAGGGGCGCCGTCTGTGAGGGGACAGGGCCCGTGAGGCCCGGGCGAGGAACGGTTGTGGCAGGCAGGGAGGTGTCACCTGCTCCAGGCGGCCTGCCCCTGGCGGGTGGCCCCAGCCTGCCTCCTCCCTCCAGTGACCGCCTCCCGCCTCCCTCCCGCAGCGCTCCCTCAACTGCAACCACACGTTCAGTGCGGGCCCTGACATGCTGCGCACCGCGCTGGGCGAGTCCACCGCCTCGCTGGACAGCACCGCCAGGTCAGCCGCGCCCGCCGGAAGGCTCCTGCTGTGCCTGCGGGTTGGGGTGACAGCTCACCCCTGGGGGAGGCTGTTGCCTTGTGAAAACACAGACGGTGGTGTGAGGGAATCTTCTAGCACGCTGGTGGCCTTCCCAGCATGTGGCACGGTGCTGTGTGGCGCTGTCCCTCTGAGTGACAGTGCTGCCCCGTCTCCTCTCTAGGGACGAAGGGCTCCAGAAGCTCAGCGTGTGTTCCGGGCCGGCACGAGGAGGCCACGGGGAGCCAGAGGCAAACTTCATCCCCAGGAACCCCAAGAAAACCCACGGTATGGGCTCCTGGCACAGAACCCCGGCCCCGTTGGTTCTGTTCGCCTCCTTCGCCCCCCCGCCCCGGCCCCTTGCCACAGGGCGCACAGGGTGGTGGCCTTGTGCGTGGAGGGCCGGAGCTCGAGCCCCTGTCCCCCGCAGGCCCGGACTCAGACTCGGACAGCGAGCTGTCCCTGGACGAGCAGAGCAGCTCCTACGCCTCGTCCCGCTCCTCCGACAGCGAAGACGACGGCGGAGACGCCGAGGAGCAGTGGGAGCCAGCCGGGGGCCCTGTCCACAGCACCCCCAAAGGTGAGCAGAGCGGGTGCGCAGGCCAGGCCGGCCGTGCCCGCAGGCTGGGGCATGCACGCTGCGCCCGGGGCTGGCGCCCTCTGCTGCCGGCCGAGCCCGGCCGGGCTGCAAAGGCAGGACCACTGCCTCAGGCTGCGGCCCAGGACCCCCCCATCCCCCCAGGTCAGGGCCTCCCTGCGTGGACGTGTTTCTCTGTCCTGAGATGCAGTTTCGCCAGGTCTGCAGGGCAGGGAGCTGTGTAAGGTCTGGACAGGAGCCATAGGCCTGGACATTGTAGGGGTGCGGCCGGGTGCGGACCGGGCTGCGGGACATCGCAGGGGTGCAGCCGGGCACGGACCAGGCTGCAGGACATCGCAGGGGTGCGGCTGGACCCTGACCGGGCTGAGGGGGCTGTGGGACATCACAGAGGTGCAGCTGGGCATGGACCAGGCTGCGGGACGTTGCAGGGGTGCGGCTGGGCACGGACCGGGCTGCGGGACATCACAGGGGTGCGGCTGGGAACAGACTGGGCTGCGGGGTGTTGCAGGGGTGCGGCCGCGCACGGACCGGGCTGCAGGACATCACAGGGGTGCGGCTGGGAGCAGACCGGGCTGCGGGGCATTGCAGGGGTGCGGCTGGGCACGGACCAGGCTGCGGGACATCACAGGGGTGCGGCTGGGAGCAGACCAGGCTGCGGGGCGTTGCAGGGGTGCGGCCGGGCATGGACCGGGCTGCGGGACATCACAGGGGTGCGGCTGGGAACAGACCGGGCTGCGGGGCGTTGCAGGGGTGTGGCCGGGCACAGACCGGGCTGCGGGATGTCGCAGGGGTGCGGCTGGGCATGGACCGGGCTGTGATCGGGCTGGGCTATCTGCTTCTGCCTCAGCCGACGCTCTGGGCAGCCACGTGCCTGGCGAGTGGCCGGACGAGAGCCTGGCGGGGAGCGACAGTGAGGAGGAGGCGGGCGCCGAGCCCCGGCTCAAGGTGGAGACGAAGGTCAGCGTGGAGCTGCACCGGCCGGAGCAGGGCAACCACCGCAGCGAGCGGCCCCCCGACCGGGGCAGCGGCGGCCTGGCCAAGCCTGCTGCCGAGCAGAGGAAAGGTGTGTGGAGGGGCCGGGCCGGGCCGGGCAGCGGGGTGGGGACATGCAGCCTGGAGGAGCAGGGGAGAGCAGCGGCCGGTCGAGGCTGGCTCCCTCGCCCCGGGACCACCCCCGAGTCTGCGGCCCCCACGGGCATCTGCCCCCACGGCGAGCTGAGCTGGCATGGCTCTCTTCCCAGGCATCCTGAAGAACAAAGTCACCTACCCGCCGCCGCTGCCCGAGCAGCCGCTCAAGTGCCGGCTGCGGGAGAAGCTGGCCGACTGCGAGGAGCACAGCCCCGTGTCCTCGCGCACATCCTCGCTGGCCTCCGGCGATGGGGTCCGCGCCCCCGAGGGCGTCATCAGCGTGAAGATCCCGCGGAGGGAGCCGGGCCGAGAGCACCGCAACGGCGCGGCCATGAGCGTGTGCACGGGGAGCGCCCAGGCCAACGGCTCGGACTCCGAGTGAGTGGCTTGGGCCTCCGGGGCCTTGGGAAGCGGGGTGGGGGGGGGGGGGCACCAACGTTCCCCTGGGACCCCGAGAGGGGTTTCTTGCCTCGCAGGAGCTCCAGCCAGCTCCACGCGCACTGACCCTCCACCCGCCTGCCGGTTCTTCCCGCACGCAGAGGCAGTAATGAAACTTCAATTTGAACCGTCAGGAAACCATGAGGCACTGGCCGCCCCCCAGCCGCATGCGTCCCAGCCTGGACCGCAGAGCCCGAGCGCGGCCCCACACAGATGGTCCGGACACGAAACGCTCGGCTGGGGCGGGGATTGGGGCCCATCCGGCGCCCTGAGCAGTGCCAAAGCCACAGGCTTGTGTCAAAGGGAACGAGGCCTCCAGACCGGCATAGCTCGGTCCTCAGACCACACAGAGCCAAAGCCACGCCACAGGGCCGGCACCCAGGACGACCCTGCTTGGAAGCGCCAGGGCCAGGCCTTGGGCTCACCAGGATGTTGAGGGCCCCCGGCACAGACGGAAGCCTGGCGGCCGCTGCCAAACCAACCCCATCTTTTTCAAGTGAATGACGGTTCAGCCTCTGTGCCTGCTCTGCGCTGGAGACGGAAGCCCGTACCGTGCCTCGGGCAACTGTTGCCACCCGGAGAGCCACGCGTTCACCTGTCCTCCATTCTGGGAAGCTGCAGACACACTGGTCCCAGCAGCTCCTGGGTGGGGAGAGCTGGGTGGCGAAGTTCAAGCAGAGTCTCTGAGCGTGCTGCGGCTGCTTCCGGAAGGCAGGGGGGGCTCCAGGGCACGAGGGCACAGCAAGGTGGGTGTCCTCCGGCCCAGCAGGACTTCCGTGGGCCCCTCCCAGCAAGCCGGGACTGCGGGGAATTCCTCTGACTCCTCCAGCTCCTGGTGGAAGCCCAGCAGCGAGGGACATCTTCCAAGATGTCCCATCTTCCTGTCCGCACTCCCCAGGCAGGCTGGGCCCCCCTGGCCTATGCTGCCATCTTGCTTTAATAACCAACTGTGCCGAGACCATGCCACAGTATTCTCATTGGTGACCATTTTGGAAATTCATACCAAGGACGGCTGTGAACCCGAGTGTGGCCAAGGCCCAAACTCCCTAGACACATCTCCTCCCGCAGTTCCTGTTCTTCAGAGAGGGTGTCCACCCAAGACCAGCACAGGTGCTTCCAAATACAAGAGAACCAAGACATGCCAGAGGCCCCTGGCAGGCAAGGGGAGAGCTGTGTGTAAACGTGTGCGCACCTACGACAGGCAAACTCAGAACCAAGACTCGCAACACTTCCAGCAGAGGTGGATGCGTGTGGCTCCCGCCTGTCATCCTAGCTACTCAGGAGGCTGAGACCTGAGGATCAGGGTTCAAAACCAGCCCGGGCAGGAAAGTCTGTGAGACTCTTCGATAAATCACCAGAAAACTGGAAGTGGCGCTGTGGTGCAAATGGTAGAGTGCTCACCTCAAGCTGAAGAGCTCAGGGACAGCGCTCAGGCCGAGTTCAAGCCCTATGATGGACAACAAAAAAAGACCTCCAGTGGGCAGAGGCGGCGGTGTGTGTAAGACACTGAATGTGAAAGACTTCTGGTGGGCAGGGGGAGAGGTCTTCAGGCCTGTGTGTGACCAACACAGGCCTTGCAGAGCCCGCGCAGTGGCTCAGATGCAGGGCAGCGGGCGTCTCCTGGGGCACGGTGGGCCAGGCAGCCAGGGCTCACGGCAGCAGCCTGCCTTCGCTGTGGGGCATGCCCTCCTCCCTCACCACCTGTGACTGGATTTTGCCCTTTTACTTTTTAATTTGATCTGAATTGTTTAAAAAAAAAATAGTTGTCAGTTTTATTAAGACAGGAAAAATTTAAACCTATTTTTATGACTTGAAACTTTTCAAGAGATGAAACACTGGACGTTTGTAACAAGTGTATTTATTAATTCTCAGCACTGGCACGCCACGGACTAGGATACAATAAATTAAAGTGTTGCTTTGTACCTGGCTCTCCCGTCTTCTGCGGCGCTCTAGCCGGGCTCTGGCCTGCCGGCATGGGGGCCGGTGTGGGGGACAGGCCCTCCTCAGGGCCTGGGATTTTGTTTTCTGACTGGACAGCACTTGCAGAGCCTCACCCCCAGCTCTTTTTGCTCCCATTATCTTTCCATTATTGTGCCATCTGCCTTTGGACCGCGAGCCTACCTCTCTCTCAGGTAGCTGAGATGATGAATGTGTGCCAGCAAGCCATTCTTTGAAATAAGGTTCTGCTTTGCTTTTTCTTTTTGCCTAGTGGGCTTTGAACTACAATCCTCCCACAAGCAGATTATAGACATGACCCACCACACCCGAAATGGGACTCTGGAACCAGAAATGTTTACCAGTCGTAGTTTAGTCCCGGCCCTCCAGCACCAGCTGCTGTCCCGGCTGGTTCCTCCTGCGCGCTGCTAGCTCCCTCACCCTCCATTCCCTCTGCAGACGTGGCTTCCTGATGATAATCTTCCCATGACTCTTCCCTCACCTCCTCTCCTAAGCCAATCCGGGGAACGTCTTCCACTCCAAATAGAATTTTACAATGCGGCTCTGCTTTAAACTTCTCTCTACTAGACGCCAGTCAGCTGGCCTCGAGAGCGCGTGAGGGCCCCTCCCGGTGCGGGAGCTCCGGGCACCGAGCCATCCATCAGCAATCTGAGTTGAGGCTGGCCTCATCTTACGCAGCAAACGCCCAAGTGAAGTCCTGCCATAGCCCCGAGCCCGTGAGCAGGTGGAGCAGCCAAGCCCTCCGCCATGCTGCCGTGGGTGTGCGGACTTCCCTGTGCACCTGACCCTGGGTCCGAGCAGGTGGAGACTGACAGGAACACCCGCGCCTCCGCTCACCCTCCTGGGTTCCCGCACTCTAATTCCCAGGGACCCCTTGCTATGCTTGCTTTGTCCAGAAAGATGGTTCTCCGTCCCAGAGCCCCACACCAATGCCTACTTTCACCCTTGGGAAATACTGAGGCCACTGTTGGGGGGGACACAGTGGGGTTCCGCTTCCTCAGCCTCCATAGGAAAGTAGCCCACGCCCGCCCCTGCCGAAGGTTGCTTCCGGTGTTGCTGCCTCTGTCCCGCTGGAGAGCGTGACCGAACACGGCCAGCAGCCCACAGCAGCGCACTGCGAGGCCGAGCGCGGCCTCCCCGGGAGGAGCTGCGGGAGCCCGGCGGGGGCCTGCTCCGGCGAACCTGGCCCTGACACAGTGGCCACGCTCCTTCTTCTAGACAGCTTTATTTGCTGCTGCCTGAGCCCGCAGCCGCACAGACCCACGCGTGCCCACGGGGCCGACCCCGGGGCTGTGGCACAGGCGCTGTAGGAGCCGGGTCCTCAGGACAGACCTGCTGGCTGGCCAGCCCGGTCCTTCGGCGTCACTGCGCAGGGCCAGCCGGGCCCCGGGGAGCAGGCAGCGCCCAACTCACCCATCGCCCACCAGCCTCCCCGCCGGCTGCCGGCCCTGGGCTCCGGCCTCTGCCTCCCTGAGCGGTTCAGCCTCGGTCAGGGTGCGAGATGCGGGCCCTCGGGGACCGCGCTGGCTCTGCTCCTGCCCTTGTGCAGCGTGTAGGCGGACGGCCCCAGCCGGAGGATCTTCCCGCTTCCCAGACACTCGTCCCCTTTGTAGAACACGGCGAACTGGAAGAGAGGCCTCGCTGTGGGAGGGACGCAGCGCCACGGCCCGGGTCCCCGCCACGCCCGCGGCTCCCCACTCACCTGCCCCGGTGCCAGGGCCCGCACGGCCGTCACAGCTGTCACCCACACGGTGCCATCCTGATTGAGGGTCAGTACACAGGGCACTGCGGGGAGACAGGCTTGGAGCAGGCGTGGCCCCGCCTCACTGGCTGCCCTCAACCGTGGCTCGGGGGCGGGGCGGCAGCTGCCCAGGGCCAGGGCCTCTGTGAGGAGCCTCCGAGGGGCAGGACTAGGGGCCAGGGCAGCTCAGCACCACCCCGGCCGTGGGCATGGCAGGACTGCCACCTAGCCCCGCACACCTGTACCTCCTCCAGGCTGGGTTCCCGTGCCTCTCCCAGCACCCAGAGAGGGCACTGCCCTCTGGCAGGCACAGAACAATACAAAGGCTATATGATCTCCACTTATGGAATACTTTCCTGTCTGAGAAGCTCCTCTTTCAGGCTGAAATCTGACCCCAGGGCCCAGCTCCAATGGCCCCATGCCCAGTTACCTAGTGCCATCTGGTGGCGGAATCGGAAGTGGCACTCCATCATCTTGTCCCGGATCAGGGCGGCGGGAGGCTCCTCGGCGATCCAGTGCACGCGGCCCGTGCGAAGCAGGTCCCTGTACAGGGCAGGGTGGTCGGTCCTGGGGGCCTGCGAAATGCAGAGCGCGAGGTGGGCAGGCCATCTGGGACCCTCCCCCAAGCTCACCATGCCGAGTGCAGCAGTGGCGGTCCGGTCCGCACAGCAAAGGGGCACCGACGGCTGGCACTGGACTCAGCCAGCCCAAGGCCATCTCACCCCTGGTGTGCGGATGAGGCCAAGTGACAGGAGCCTGGCCCACACTCTCCACGGCCGTCTGAGGCCGCAGGCTTCTGCTCCTGGGGCTGAGGGCCGGCCTCAGCACTGGCCACTTCTCAGAAGGGCCGGGAGCCCACCAGGTCCAAACGGTCAGGAGAGGCGGGACCGGCCGCCCTGCCGCCGCCCCTGTGCTCACAGCAAAAGCTGGCTGCGGTGGCGCCTCTGATGAGCAAAGCTCCCGGAGCGGAGCCAGGAGCATGGGAGCCCAGGGGCTTGGGGTGGCGAGCCGCAGCACTGAGCACTCAGAGCCTAGGTCAGCAGGTAACGTCTGCTGACTCCAAGAGGTCCCCAGCACTGGCCACCCCAAGAGATACCAGCCCCGCTTGCCGGGGCAAGCCCTTAGCCTCAGCATGCCTGAGACCAGTCCGGGCTTGGGGACTGCCAGGGCGGGGCAGGCCGTGCACTAGTGCACAGAGGATCACTCCTACCCCCCCATCAAGACTCCCAACCCCTCCGCCACCGCCACCTCCCGAGCCGGCCTTGCAGGTGCACGCAGCGCCCGTGTGGCTGCACCTGGCTTGGTCCTGGTCGGCCAGCCTACTGGCCCCAGCGGGAACCCTAGCTCTCCTCCACACGAGCTGGCTGTGCTGGGACCACGAGCAGCTTCTCGGGAGACCTTCACCAGTTTCCCACTGCTCTGCATCTCCCCAGTAAAACCCCAGCATTTCTAGGCACTCACAGGATGGGTGGATGTGCAGCATACAGTGAGAGCCTACTGCACTTGAACAAAACCCTTCGGCGACATCAGGCCAACCCCAGGAGCCCTGGCATCCCATGCACGCCACCCACTCAGGGGCCTTGGGCCAGGAGCTCCCCCACCCTCCGGGCCTGCACCTTGCATGACGGCCAGCCTCACCCACTCACCACAAGCACGTCACCCTTGGCACTGTCCTTCTCCACCACAAACCAGGGCTCTCGCATGCCGCTGATCTTTGCTCTCTGGCCCAATGTATACAGGAACCAACCTGTGAAAGTTTGCTTTGAGGACCAGGGATGAGGTCCACATGAATACCCAAAAAGCAGAGACTGCAGAGCCTGAGAGCGCCCACCACGATCCACGCTGTGCCAGGATCCGAAGCTGGCCTGGACACACACCAGTGACTACTGCATTTGGCCCAAGGGGCCAGTCAGCTCCTTCAGAGTGTGGCTGAACCAGGGTGAAAACACGGCTCACCCTGCTCAACCCCGGTGTGGCAGGGTCTTTTTTTTTTGGGGGGGGGGGGGGGCGTGCCAAATGCCCGCTGTCATGCATACCCCTTGCATCCAGGCTGATGTCAGGGTAACCGGTTTGTCCCCTCCAACTCCAAGACCCCCAAGATGGCGTGTGCACTGACAGGCACCACCCAGGATTCACTGTGCTCTGGGGACTTCCACCACAGTCCTTCAGCTGCCTGCTGCTGGAGAAGGCAGCTCTATGGCCAGAGAGGCTGCCACTGCCCTGATCTCTCCAGGGCTGGCAGAGCTCCAGAGAGCACTGCGCTGGCCTCGTCCCAGTACCCAGTCTTGGATCTGGTCTGGACGTCACTCCCCAAAGGCTCACCCCGTTCCATCCTGCCCACGCCCAGCGCAGTGCGGGTTCCGTGGCCCTGCTCGACAACTGTCTGCAGCTGCTGAGCAGCGGCCAGCATGGCGCTCTGTGGAGGACCTGCCCTGCCCGTCCGCGTGGTCCTCCCTCGTCCAGCTGGAGCCGGCCTAGCACCATCACCATCATCGGGGTAGCCTTCTACAATTCACAACTTACTTGCCCAGCAGGAAAAGCACTCTGCTCCCAGGGACTTCACACACACACCCAGAGGGACATGGCCCCTGGCACACACAAGGCACTAGTCAGGCTCACCGCCAGTGCCCTGAGCCAGACGCCTCTGTCCCTAGGCTGACTGCCCAGAGCACACCCAGGACGCACACAAGGGCTGAAGCGGAAAGCGCCCAGAGGCCGCACCTCACCTTTGTGTGTTCCCAGAACTTTATTGTCTTCGACAGAAACAAACTTCCCAGGTCGCGGCTGCAAATACTGAAGACAAAGCTCCATTACTGATGGAGCCCAGGTCTGGGGTGGACACGAGGTCCATGTGGTCAGAATACTTACCTGAAGGATGAAGTGCTCGAAATTCCTCTTGCCAACAAAACAGATGCCCATGCTCTGAAAGGAGAGGAAGCACAGCTGCGCTGAGCGATGGCAGGCCCGCGGCCCGCAGCGCCACGGGCGCCACAGACAGAGCCCCAGGGGCAGGCCCGCAGCGCCACGGGGCGCCGGGCCCTGCTGCCTCCTCCAGCGCCTGCACACGCCAGGTACAGCAACAGACAGAGCTGCAGGGGCAGGCCCGAGGCCTGAGGCGCCCCCTCCTCCAGCGCCCGCACACGCCAGGTACAGCCACAGACAGAGCTCCAGGGGCAGAGCTGGAGGCACGGCTCACGGGGTAGAGTGCCAGCTGTGTGGGTACAATGCCCTGGCTTTAAGCCCCAGTATTAGCACAAAACTAAGAGAACTCTAGGAGCTAAGGAATGCACGTAGTCCCGGCTCCCCTGGGGTTGGGTCATTCAGGCGCCCGCAAGGCCTGGTTCTGCGTTGTTGAATACCTCATGAGCGGCTCAGGAGTGGCAATGACACCGTCAGGGACGGCCTGAGCGGGGGAGGGAGCACAAGGCAAAGCCAGGAGGGGGCAGGAAAGGCGCTGGCCATTCCCTGCACTGAAGCAGCAGGAAGGTCTTCCCGTGGCTGCTGGGGTGAGCGTCTTCACCCGTCGCCCTCTGGTTGTGTACCCTCCAGAGTACGGGCACGGGGTGGGAGCTGCAGCTCCTGCTGGAACCCGAACCCTGACGATGCGGGGCGGGAGGAGTGTTTCTGAAGGACGCCTTGCTGATCGTGGCATGGTCAGGCCTCATTCCAGGAAGACGGATGGAAGCTGCTGGGAGCCGTGCCCAGGGCTGCCAGCCTGAGGACCTGCGCCTCGCCTCACTCCAAGGCGCCCTAACCCGACAACACATCCTCTTCCCTCCATGCCAAGTCTCTGGGCTGTGACCTCGTGCCACCTCACCCCTTGTTTAGACCTCAGGTTAAAGGTCACTTTCTCTCCCAGGACCCTGGCACTTCTCCATATGTGTGTACAAAGTATGTAAGGCTCCAGCATGCATCCACTCCCATCCTAAAGGTAAGCTCCGCAGGAGGGGTGCGCTGTCTGGGGGTCTGTAGGAGGGGTGCGCTATCTGGGGGTCTGTAGGATTGGTGTGCTGTCTGGGGGTCTGTAGGAGGGGTGCGCTGTCTGGGGTCTGTAGGAGGGGTGTGCTGTCTGGGGGTCTGTAGGATTGGTGTGCTGTCTGGGGGTCTGTAGGAGGGGTGTGCTGTCTGGGGGTCTGTAGGATTGGTGTGCTGTCTGGGGGTCTGTAGGATTGGTGTGCTGTCTGGGGTCTGTAGGATTGGTGCACTGTCTGGGGGTCTGTAGGATTGATGTGCTGTCTGGGGTCTGTAGGATTGGTGTGCTGTCTGGGGTCTGTAGGAGGGGTGTGCTGTCTGGGGTCTGTAGGAGGGCTGTGCTGTCTGGAGTCTGTAGGATTGGTGTGCTGTCTGGGGGTCTGTAGGATTGGTGTGCTGTCTGGGGGTCTGTAGGATTGGTGTGCTGTCTGGGGGTCTGTAGGATTGGTGTGCTGTCTGGAGGTCTGTAGGAGGGCTGTGCTATCTGGGGGTCTGTAGGATTGGTGTGCTGTCTGGGGGTCTGTAGGATTGGTGTGCTGTCTGGGGTCTGAAGGAGTGGTGTGCTGTCTGGGGGTCTGTAGGATTGGTGTGCTGTCTGGGGTCTGTAGAAGGGGTGTGCTATCTGGGGGTCTGTAGGATTGGTTGTGCTGTCTGGGGGTCTGTAGGATTGGTGTGCTGTCTGGGGTCTGTAGAAGGGGTGTGCTATCTGGGGGTCTGGATTGGTGTGCTGTCTGGGGTCTGTAGGAGGGGTGTGCTGTCTGTGGGTCTGTAGGAGGGGTGTGCTGTCTGGAGGGTCTGTAGGAGGGGTGTGCTGGCTGGGTTCTGTAGGATTGGTGTGCTGCCTGGGGGTCTGTAGGAGGAGTGTGCTGTCTGGGGATTGTAGGATTGGTGTGCTGTCTGGGGTCTGTAGGATTGATGTGCTATCTGAGGGTCTGTAGGACTGGTGTGCTGTCTGGGGGTCTGTAGGATTGATGTGCTGTCTGGGGGTCTGTAGGTGGGGTGTGCTGTCTGGGGGTCTGTAGGATTGGTGTGCTGTCTGGGGTCTGTAGGAGGGGTGTGCTGTCTGGGGTCTGTAGGAGGGCTGTGCTATCTGGAGTCTGTAGGATTGGTGTGCTGTCTGGGGGTCTGTAGGATTGGTGTGCTGTCTGGGGGTCTGTAGGATTGGTGTGCTGTCTGGGGGTCTGTAGGATTGGTGTGCTGTCTGGGGGTCTGTAGGAGGGCTGTGCTATCTGGGGGTCTGTAGGATTGGTGTGCTGTCTGGGGGTCTGTAGGATTGGTGTGCTGTCTGGGGTCTGTAGGAGTGGTGTGCTGTCTGGGGGTCTGTAGGATTGGTGTGCTGTCTGGGGTCTGTAGAAGGGGTGTGCTATCTGGGGGTCTGTAGGATTGGTGTGCTGTCTGGGGTCTGTAGGAGGGGTGTGCTGTCTGGGGGTCTGTAGGATTGGTGTGCTGTCTGGGGGTCTGTAGGATTGGTGTGCTGTCTGGGGGTCTGTACGAGGGCTGTGCTATCTGGGGGTCTGTAGGATTGGTGTGCTGTCTGGGGGTCTGTAGGATTGGTGTGCTGTCTGGGAGTCTGTAGGATGGGTGTGCTGTCTGGGGGTCTGTACGAGGGGTGTGCTGTCTGGGGGTCTGTAGGAGGGGTGTGCTATCTGGGGGTCTGTAGGATTGGTGTGCTGTCTGGGGGTCTGTAGGATTGGTGTGCTGTCTGGGGGTCTGTAGGAGGGCTGTGCTATCTGGGGGTCTGTAGGATTGGTGTGCTGTCTGGGGGTCTGTAGGATTGGTGTGCTGTCTGGGGTCTGTAGGAGTGGTGTGCTGTCTGGGGTCTGTCGGTGGGGTGTGCTGTCTGGGGGTCTGTAGGATTGGTATGCTGTCTGGGGGTCTGTAGGATTAGTGTGCTGTCTGGGGTCTGTAGGAGGGGTGTGCTGTCTGGGGTCTGTAGAAGGGGTGTGCTATCTGGGGGTCTGTAGGATTGGTGTGCTGTCTGGGGTCTGTAGAAGGGGTGTGCTATCTGGGGGTCTGTAGAAGAGGTGTGCTTTCTGGGGGTCTGTAGGATTGGTGTGCTGTCTGGGGTCTGTAGGAGGGGTGTGCTGTCTGTGGGTCTGTAGGAGGGGTGTGCTGTCTGGAGGGTCTGTAGGAGGGATGTGCTGGCTGGGTTCTGTAGGATTGATGTGCTGCCTGGGGGTCTGTAGGAGGAGTGTGCTGTCTGGGGATTGTAGGATTGGTGTGCTGTCTGGGGTCTGTAGGATTGATGTGCTATCTGAGGGTCTGTAGGACTGGTGTGCTGTCTGGGGGTCTGTAGGATTGATGTGCTGTCTGGGGGTCTGTAGGTGGGGTGTGCTGTCTGGGGGTCTGTAGGATTGGTGTGCTGTCTGGGGGTCTGTAGGATTGGTGTGCTGTCTGGGGGTCTGTAGGATTGGTGTGCTGTCTGGGGGTCTGTAGGATTGGTGTGCTGTCTGGGGGTCTGTAGGATTGGTGTGCTATCTGGGGGTCTGTAGGAGGGGTGTGCTGTCTGGGGTCTGTAGGATTGATGTGCTGTCTGGGGGTCTGTACGAGGGGTATGCTGTCTGGGGGTCTATAGTAGGGGTGTGCTGTCTGGGCCCGGGGGTCTGCAGGGTATGCTGGAAATCTGAGTGCAGACAGCTACCAAGCTGCCCCCAGGTCAGCTAGTGAGGCTGCTGGAGAGCTCCTGCCACACTCGGCATGGGAGCAAGGAGGCAAGCCTCGGCCTCAGCCAAATCCCCGTCAGCAGGCCTCTGCCTTGACGGTGGCCAGTCCTGGGAAGGGACCACACAGGCTGGCTTCGCCCTGTGCCAAGGTGGCAAAAGCGTGCACAAACCATGGGCAAACTGCTTCCTCTCACCTCCTTCTTCTGAAGCACATGATGCAGTCTATTTTCAGCTGCTATTTTCTTGACAAAACTTTTTGTCAGTCCCCCCAGAGGGAAGATGGTTCTTCTCAGGGCATCCTGGGAGACCTGGCTGAGAAAGAAGGTCTGGTCTTTAAAGCTGTCAGCGGCTTGGAGTAGTTTTACAGCTGCCAGGAGTAAAAAACAAAAAATGTTGCCTTTAGTAACACCTTCTGTTTACTTGGTCACCTGCCTGTCACTAGCTGACAACTGGGAAAAACCAGTGGAGATGCTCACCCCTTGCTCATCTACCTCAGAAAAATACAGCAAGGTCACTGGTTCTCAGACATTCAAAGGTGAAATACCACCTGAAGCAATGAAGGAAACTGCCTGGAGTCCACTGGCGCCTGCCAGATGCTGCTCTAACACTGTAATGAAAGGAAGGAAGCAGCTACGCTAAGCTGTGAACAACTACGGGCTTTAAGCGTCTGAGCCACTGGTTCTGTGGAGGAGGACCAGAGCTTCCTAGCTGGGATCTGTTGGGTTCCAGGCGCCCGATTCCAGGCTGGTGGAACTGACCAGGACGCCAGCGTTTCAGCTTTTCACCCTTGCTCACATCAGTGTTAGAGATGCCACAGGCCATGCGCAGAGCACGCCACGAGAGGCAGGCATCACAGTGGTGGGCCCGTGGGTGCACAGTGGCCCTGGAGCGCTGCCCCGTGCTGGCTCTCATGCAAGTCCCATTTTACTGACAAGAACTGCAGGCAGGAAGCCCACAATGCTGCAGAGCCGCACACGGGATGAGTTGAGTCAGCAGCACTATTTCAAGATTAGCTCTGTGAAACAGTGTTGGATGCAGAAATACCTCCTAACGTCGCAGGTATCATATGTTTTCTTCTAGTTCTGACTTATTTTTAAACAAATTAAAAATCTGAGTTAGTTTGTAGCTTGTAGTCCTAGCTACTCAGGAGGCTGAGATCTGAGGATCATGGTTTGAAGCCAACCTGCGCAGGGAAGTGTTCTACTCTTCTCCCCAGAAAGCCAGAAGTGGGGCTGGGAATGTGGCCTAGGGTAGAGAGCTACGCTAAGCTGTAATGAAAGGAAGGAAGCGGCTACGCTAAGCTGTGACAGCAGGAAGGAAGCGGCTACGCTAAGCTGTAATGAAAGGAAGGAAGCAGCTACGCTAAGCTGTAATGAAAGGAAGGAAGCGGCTACGCTAAGCTGTGACGGCAGGCCCGACACCAGGCCCACTGGTACATGGGAACCTGAGCACGCCTCCGCTTCGTCCATCCATTTGCTCTCCAGGCCATGGTGGTGGTCACAGGGCCAGGCCCACAGCTACCGCCAACCAGGGGCCAGGCCTCCACCCTGCCCTGCCCAATCTCTCAGCCACGGCCACTAAATAAGCAAACAGAGCCATGGTGTGCCCCACACAGCACAGACACCGCCACGCCGCCGGCCCTGCACTCCACACCAACCCAGCCACGCACCAGTGCGACGTCCTAGGCAAGGGGAGTATCTACTCAGGATGGGGACACCCCATCAGCTCCAGCACCTCAAATCCTTGCTGTCGGCGAGTCCCATAGAGGGGCCCCCAGGTACAGGGCTGTGCACCTGGTTCTAAGCCAGGTCCTGGACACAGCAAAAGGGGCCAGAAGGGGCTCAGAGACGGCGGCCACGACCCCTTCCACCAACGGGACAGTCTGCAGGGGCTGCTTGAGCACTTCCCTTGTGCAGACGGCAGAGAAGCCAAGATGGCCCCTGTGCTGGGCACCAACATCACTGGCGCCTGCTCACAGGGCTTGTGGTGCCGCAGAGGGTATTCAGGGAGCCTGGCACAGCAGGGAGAGCAGGTCAGGGTGAGCTCCACCCCTTGGCACCCAGGCCCGCGGCACCCTGCTCCTGCCAGGGTGTAGCCTGCTAGGCAGCTGCAGGTGGGCCATGCGCGGGGTCTGCCGGGCCCGTGGCCCATGCTGTGGCGTGGAGCCTGCGGACCTCCGTGCATGTGTGCCCCAGGCCAGGCACACTGCAGCCTCCCGCTGCCTGACACTCACGCCTCGCCAGAAAGGCGAACCCTCACCTTTTGGCATTTATAGGCAAGTCTGTGCCTAGTCATGGCATGAAGCCACCGCACTGCTAGCTAGCCTGCGCTGTGTCACACCAAATCTCAAGCCTCAAAAACTAAGCCTACAGCACCCCCATTACTGCCCAATATGTCCTCGGATGTTTCTGGGTATTAACATTACCAACAGACGACAACGGCCCTAGACATGATTCTTGATTTTACCCAACCACGCAGCTGCTCTGACACCATCCAGGGGCACACTCGCCCGCCCCTCTCCCTCCCCTCCCCTGGCCCTCCCTCTCCCAGTCTCGAACTCAAGGCCTTGTGCTTGCTGAGTAGAACCATTCTTCCAGGTCATTTTTGATTTAGGTTTTTTTGTTTTTCCTGAATAGGGTTCTATATTTTGCCCTGGGTGAGGCGTGGGCTGTGATCCTCTCAGCCTGAGTAGCTGGGATGACAGGTGCATGTATTTGTTAACTTATTGAATTTTTGGCCTGAGCTGGCCTCAAACTACCCTCCGCCCGCTCTCTGCCTGTGGAGAAGCTGGCACTGCAGTCGTGAGCCATGGTGCCCAGAGGGGCACCTTTCTGTGTCCACCCACAGGCCCTCAAGGAAAGAGCCCCACTGGTAACTGCTCCTTTGCAAACATGACTCAAACCACTGGCGAGCTTGGAGCGCCCAGGCAGAGGGAGCGTGGCGTGCGCGCTCGGACCCACAATGTCTTTCTTCCACATATTTCAATGTGACCTGAGCACTTGAACTTACCATTTCTCACTTCAAATCGATTCCTGAAAAGCCCTTGTGGTCTCTTAATGTGCTTCTGCTCAAAGACTTCCTCATCTTCCAGTGAAGTCCTGGCATAGTGACCCGTGGCAACGGCATCTGCTCCTGTGGGATTAAACGTCCAAGGACGCCATGTGAGACTCCACAAGAGCCGAGGCCGTGGGGCACTGCAGAGCAGCCTGACAGGGAAAGCCACGCACGGACGTGCGCGTGTGCGTCCACACCCTCCAACAGCAAACCCTGGGGACAGAGGCCACATTACGCCTGAGGCAAACCACCACAGCCATTCGTTTAAGGGCAGACGAAACCTTGCTACAAAGTTTTAGTACATCTTTTAAGAGCCTTTTAAACGTCACTATCTACCTACTCAGTCATTCTAGCTTAATAATCAGATGTGCAGATTTATTTTGCTGGTCCTGGGGCTTGAACTCACGGTTTGGGCACTGCCCAAGCTTCTTTTCTGGCTTTTTCTGTGATTGGAGATAAGAGTTTCACGGACTTTCCTGGCTTCGAACCATGATCCTCAGATCCCAGCCTCCTGAGTAGCTAATAATAGGCATGAGCCACCAAGGCCCAGCTTAATTGTGTTTTTCACATGCCTTTTTTTAAAAAGTGTACACGGGGGCTGGGAAGGTGGCTCAGTGGTAGAGCACTTGCCTTGCATATATGAGGCCCTGGGTTCGATTCCTCAGCACCACATAAGCAAAAAGAAAAAAAGCCGGAAGTGGTGCTGTGGCTCAAGTGGTAGAGCGCTAGCCTTGAGCTGAAGAGCTGAGGGACAGCGCCCAGGCCCAGAGTTCAGGCCCCACGACCGGACCCCCCCCCAAAAAAAAAAAAAGTGTGCGCAGTTAACTTACTGCTGATTTAAAGTTACAATCTAGTTAAAGCTACAATCTAAGCGTCCTCCTCCTCCTAGGGCACTGTCACTTCTCAGCCCTGTGGCTAGCGACCCCAAAGCACCTCTCCTCAAAATCGCCTGAGTGATGACACTGTCTGTGCCACACGGACAGCCCCTCCTCCACTTCATCAGTAAGTTCTTCCTCAACCAATCAATGTTTCCTTCTTGAAGAGGAAACTTCACAAGTTTTAGCTTCTGACTGTGTGAAGATCTGAGTTTTTCCAAACAAAAGCGTTTCTCACCGAGATTATCCACGGCGTAATGATAGAAGCAGCTGAACTTGATGTGCTTGTTGCACATTATGTCGGGGTTGGGTGTTCTTCCTTTTTCATACTCATTCAGAAAATCACTGGGATAAGAGAAATAGACTTTTTAGTTCTTTCTGGTGTGGTGGGGAGAGGAGCAGTAATGGGATTTGAACTAAGCCTCATGTTTATACTCTACCACTTGAACCATAGCCCCAGAACTTTTTTGCTTTTATTTTCCACAAAGAACTTCATTTTTGCTAACTCCAGACTTTGATTCTACCTCAACTTCTCTCAAAGCTGGGATTACAGGTGTACCTCACCATGCCTAGTTGATTTTCTAGTTCTAAGTATGAAGCAAACATCAGAAATTAAATCAGCTCAATTATTTGTTTAATGTACATTCTTTTTTGTGCCAGTTTGGGGCTTGAACTCAAGGCCTGTGCACTGTCCCTGAGCTTTTGTGCTCAAGGCTACTGTTCTACCACTTTGAGCCAAAACACCATTTCCAGCTTTTTGTTAGTTCACTGGAGATAAGAGTCTCATGGACTTTCCTGTCTGGACTGGCTTTCACCATCATCCTCAGATCCTCAGATCTCCGCCTCCTGAGTAGCTAGGCTTACAGACATGAGCCATGATGCCCAGCTGGAATTTCTTCTTGCCTTACCAAAACTTCTGCAACACTGATGAGCTCCAGTACCCAGCCATTACCCCTATTTTTGTCAAGCATCTGCTTAGAGCTGAGGGCCCATGCCAGAGGCTGAGATAACTAAGCAGCCTGCACAAAGAACGAGGTGGGTGCTGTGGCTCCGGCAGCACTGCCTTCCCGGGCTGGCAGGATGTGAGCATAAGAGGCGGGCACGCACGCCTGCTCCCCACAGCTTCTCAACACAAGAGGCCCTCGGGAGGGGAGACGGACCTGGGTCACAAAGGAGACAAACACCGAAGTCGCAACGCAGGCCTCCGTGAAAGGTCTACAAAGCCAGCCACAGACCCAGTTTCTAAGCAAGCACGCCACATGGAGGAGCGGAGTTCTGTTCTGACTGGACATGGGAGAGGTCACTACCACAAGCAAGCCTGGCGAGAATTTCAGTCTTAGGATTCACTCCAAGCCTATTCTAGGAATTTAAAAAAAAATCAGTACATTTTGGTATGTGTGACTATTTTCTCATTTGAAGCTTTCTGATGAGGACTTACAAAGATAATGATAGCCAAGATGCACCGTGAGAGCAGGGTAGGTCTGTCCCCATCACGCTCCAGATCTGCAAGAACACGCCATGCACTGCTTCACCTGGTGAAGGCAGCAGGCTGTCTGCTGGACAGCCCCAAAGGAAATGTAACAATTCCCAGCTCTGTGTGTGGCCACGGCCCAGTAAACTCCCTCCACCACAGGCTCTGAGCCATACGTGAAAAAGAGATGAATGCTTAACCAGGTCAGAGTGTGATATGTGTGGTTAGCTACTTCCAGAACACAAGATGGGAATGTGTACCAGAGGGCATTAGCAGACACTATGGAGGAGCAGCCCGGCCTGATCCTCCAGGAGAAAGAGGAGGAACCCTTCTCACCTGGGCGAGGGAGATGCCAATTAGGAGAATAGAATACTTGGGCTGTAAGTATGGCTCAAATGGTAGAGTGCCTATCTAGCAAGCTAAAAGCACTGAGTTCAAACCCCAGTACTGCCCAGGGTAAAGAGAAAAAAAAACAAAACAAAGGAACTTGAACTGTCTGAGGCCAAGGGGGTCTTAAACAAGGGGCTCTTTTTCCCCCAGAAGGAAATTTCTGGGCTAGAGAGCCCTCCCTGAGAACACCTGAACTCAGCTGGAGGAGCACGCCGAGCCACATCCATGAGCAGCCAGGGCCAAGCAAAAGGCACGATGGACCACAGCTTGCCCGAGCCCCAGGACAGGGCTGTGACCACAAAGCTGCGGACCCTCACAGCACCACGGCCTTTCAGTCCCTCATGAGCAGCGCTCATGGGGGCATCCGGGAACGTGGAGAAAGGATGCGGTGGCACACACTGGCCGGGAAGCGGGGTTTTCTCCCAGCTCTACTCATCTCCTCTACCACCTCTGCCTCTCCTCTTCCTCCTCCACACTGCCTTGCACCCTACGTGAGTGTCTTCTCTCCTCCTGGGCCATTTCACACAAGCCCTCCTTCGGGTCAGTGCAGACACCTCCTGTGCACTCCACGCTGGTCCACTTCCTCTCACCAGAGGCATGCCCACCCACACCAGCCCCCCACACGCAGGCCCCACAGGATCCCCACAGCAAGGTGCACACACCTCTTGGTTCCCTAGCATGCAGTACACTCAGTGATCACGGTGGGGACGGCAGTAGACTGTATCAAAGTTCTTCTTGACTCTTATTTTGAAAAGGCATGGGGCAGTGTACTGCAACTCTATCTCCGTGCCTCTCAACTACTGACACACACGGCACCCACGTGATTCGGAAAGGCAGAGACTTCTTGTAGAGGCAAAGCGGCAGGGGAGTGCCGAGTGACACGGCACTCAGGCACTGAAGCTGTCACACCCAAGCACCACCGCCAAGAGGCCCACCAGGCTGCGGGCCGGCTCCTCTGGCTGTGAGGATCCTTGAAAGGAGAGCACGCAGCACACCGGAGCCCCCTGTGCACTGCCCCCCTCACCCCCCCAACCCACCTGAACACCTCATTCCAGTACTCCTTCACGTAGGACACTTGGTGGAAAGGGATGTCGAGGATCTGGCAGACCCGGTAGGCATCCTCGCAGTCTCTGTCGGCCGTGCAGACGCCATGCTCATCCAGCGAGTCCCAGTTCTTCATAAACACCCCCGTCACCTGGTAACCTGGGGGAGGAGAGCGGATCACAGGATGCCGAGCTTCCCGCCACACCACTCCACAGCGCCGCACCACACCGCATGCCACACCACGTGCCGCACCACCACGCCCAGGAGCTGCTCCAAGGCCCCCAGAGCCTTGCACAGCACACGTCCCATCATGCAGGGCCCCCAAAGGGGGCAGGGGATTTTTTTCTTTTTTATGTCTCTACCTATGCATCTTCAAGTTCGTTAGCCTGCAGGAGGAACTGAGCCAATGATTCAAAGATCAGCAGCAAATGAAAACACTACCACTCAGTTACCAAGAGCCTGAATTCATTTCAAAAGTTATGTTCTGCTACCAAGACTCAGAAGTTATCAGATCAAAGACAATTACAGGCCAGGCGTTGGTGGCTCACACTGTAATCCTAACTACTCAGGAGGCTGAGATCTGAAGATCACAGTTCAAAGCCAGCCCGGGCAGGAAAGTCCGTGAAACTCTTATCTCCAATAAACCACCAGAAAACTGGAAGTGGCGCTGTAGCTCAAGTGGTAGAGCGCTCGCCTTGAGCTCAAGAGCTGAGGGACAGCGCTCAGGCCCAGACCGACAAAGAAAGAAAGAAAAAAAAAAGACAATTACAGTTTTGTGTATTTTATCTGGCGCAGGAGCAACTCAGTGATGAGTGCTTGCTTAGCATGGGTGAGGCTCTGGCACCAAAACCAATCCCCAGCACCAAAACATAAATTTTGGATATCCCTTACTATAAAGGCTCTACCACTGCATATTTTATAATGCATCTTTTCCCTTTCCCATTGTGATACAGTACACAGCCACGTACGAGAAAGAACTCTGTGGCCCCCACACCCTCCATTCAAACTACCTGGGTACCAATCCCATATGAACAATGTCTCTTCTACAAAGGAAATATAGAGCACTTGTCCGCTAAGTCTTAAGAGTGCCTCACGAGACAAGGATTTGCCAACAAACTTTGGTCCAAGTGACAATGTCATATTCACAAGGCCATATTGGCCTCAAGCAGGCCCTTACTCCTGTGTCTGGAAGCCCCTGATCCTCCTATTCTAGAACTTACCAAACTGTGCTCAGCTCTTCAGCCAGTCTCCAGCCCTTCCTAGAGCAGGAAGCTCCTCAAGTGTAACTGTGCTTAATTCAAGCCTGTGTCTACATGCTGACAGTCCCCACAACGTCCAAGAAAGAGTTTGTCAAATGAATAAACCCTATATACAGAGGCTTTTAGTTTGCTTGTTTGCTAGTACTGGGGCTTGAACTCAGGACCTTGTGCTCTTGCTTGGCTTTTTTTTGCTCAAGAATGGCATGCTACCACTTGAGCCACACCTCCACTCCCAATACTACTACCACTACTTCTTCTTTCTTCTCCTTCTCTTTTTTGAAGGTATTGAGTTTAAAAACCCCGGAGCCTTGAGCTTGATACCACTGTCTCCAGCTTCTATGCACAGTTATAAGACTCTGCTCTTCCCATACCTCACCTGCCCGACTGTTCTTCACATGAGCCACTGCTGGGGGCACAGACTGTCACTCTGCATGGCTCCTCAACTCCCCACGGGACATTATTTAAAGAGCCTTCAATACCAAATCCAGAGGACAATGCTTGTTTCTGGTATTTCTATCAGCTCTCTCCACAGAGGAAAACCCAAGGAAAGCTACAATATGATCAAGCGGGACAGTGTGGAGGGAGACAGTCTTTCTCAAGAAGGAAAACAGTGTACCTGGAAGAACATGGCTAGTCTACTTCATCTCCTCAAACACCCTCCTTCACAAACCTTCAACCGCTTGGACCTGCCCATCAGTATTATGCTCAAGACCCCAAAATAGTACTCTGTGCCCTGCCCTGCCTGCCTGCCCAGACGCAGCCAGGACCTGGGCCTCTGCACTCCTGCCTGTGCTGCTGACTCTACCTCAGCTCAAAAACCTCCACCTTCAGGACGCTGACTTTGATCCTTTCTCTCTTCCCAAATGATGTAAGACGGAGGCCCGCTGACCTCTGCCCTAGACGCTTGACTACACCTTTCCTAACAGCAGTGGCGGCTGATCTTTACTAACCCTCATTACCCCTGCCTGTGCACTACACAAGGGTGAGACCTTTTGAATCCTACGGCAGCTCCGGGAGTGGATGAGGGCTAGCACGTCGGCAGGTGGCTCACAGCGGGGGCTCTGCGCACAGGGACCCGGCCAGGCCCGGAACACCTGCGAGCACTTTGCGGGAGTCTGTAGCGCAGGCAAGGGAGAGCGCAGAGCGGCTCGGAGTCAACCAGGAGCCGAGGCCCGGCCTCCACGCAGCGGCCTGCACCGGGCGGACAGGCCGAGGCCGGCCGAGGCCCGGGCGGCACCCGCGGGGGTGGGCCCCGCCCTCCGCGGGCGCAGGCCCCGCCCCCTCCCGATCTTTCCCTCGCCCCGCCCCCGGAGCGTAGGCCACGCCCCAGGCCCCAGCCTCGCCACGCCCACGAGGTGGGGGCCTCGCGGGAGTTCGCGCTCGCCCGCACCGACCCCCGGCGGCCTCCGGCGCCGGCTGAGGCCGGGAGAGGAAGCGGCCCGTCCGAGTCCGCGCGGGGCGGAGGCCCGGGGAGTGGACCGCGCCCCTCACCTCTCCGCTTCAGCAGCAGCGCGGCCACGGCGCTGTCCACGCCGCCGGACAGCGCGCACACCACGCGCCGCGCCACCTGCATCGGGCCGCCGCCGCCGCGCCGGAAGTCCCGGAAGTCCCGCCCTCGCCGGCGTGGGCGCTGCGGGCCGGCCGGAAGCGCACTCACGACTCCCTGCGTTCCGCCCCGCCGTCGGGCCCCGCGGTCCTTCCCGCCGCGGCGCGGCTCCGACGCAGCGGCTGCCATTGGGAGCCGTCGAGGCACGACGCGGCTGCCGGCGGAGAACGCACTGGAAGGGGCGCGGGGCGCGGCGCCGGCCCGGGACGCCTGCGGAGGACGGTGTGCGGGCCGGTGCCTGGACCTGGGCGGCCGGGAGCGGCCTGGGGGAGGACCAGCACGCGGGCCCGCTCGGACGGCGGGACGGAGCCGGAGCCCGGCGTGGGCCCGGCGGGCCTCGCCGGCGTGCGGAGGGTGGAGGCCATGAGTGGCCAGGGCCGGGCTGGCCAGGGCCAGCGCCAGCAGCGCACCGAGGACGCCCGCACGTGCCAAGTCCAGGCCTTGTGCGGTTTGGATTTTGTCTTAGGAGGATCCCGGGGACTTGAACCCCGGGCCAGGGTGCTGCCCTCAGCTTTCTCATTCTAGGCTGGGACTCAGCGCAGACCGAACATTTAAATCTTAGTCTCAAAACAGTTCTTACCCCTAGAATGTGCCCAGTACTGTTTTGTTTATTGTTTAAACAGGCAGATAGAACCCTGACTTCATGAAGGGTGTGATGACTGGAAAAACCGAAGGGATGAAATGTCAATACAAGTGCAAATGGGGCTGGGAAGGTGGCTCACTGGTAGAGTGCTTGCCTTGCATACACGAGGCCCTGGGTTCGATTCCTCGGCATCACATATGCAGGAAAAGCCGGAAGTGGCGCTGTGGCTCAAGTGGTAGAAGGCTGGCCTTGAGCTGCAGAGCTGAGGGACAGCGTCCAGGCCCAGAGTTCAAGCCCCACGACTGGCAAAAAAAAAAAGTGCACATGGTTTTAAATCAGGCCAATTACTCCTCCCCCATCCCCCCCTTCACACACAGGTTGGCAATAAAATCATGTTCCTCAAAAGGTTAACGGTGGGCGTACAAGCACCCTGTGGGGGCAGTGGGAATTTAGGATACACAGTGCCGTGCTTGAAGCCTCTCCTTTTTCTAAAGACTACCTGAAAGGCATTGAGTTGTATGTCTCCTTGTCCTATAAGATCTGTAGGTTGCTTCAGAGCAGACAGAAAGCAATTAGCTCGACCCCACTGTGTCCTGCACAAGTCTTTTGGACCTCTTGCCCCGGTGAGGGATGGCTGTTTGGGTGTAGTTCTCGCTCTGCAGTACATATGTTAACTGCTATGCCACTGTCCTGAGTGATCTCTGGCACAGGAGGCTTGGAGGCAGCAGGAAGTAGTCACCATGACCAGCACCGACCAATGTCCTTATAGGGTCTTTCCCAAGGGGGAAAAGTGGGAAATCTGGAATTCATTCCACAAGTATTGAGCCTCCAATATGGGTGAGGCTGCATTCTCCTGGGATTTATGGGTACAGGGCTGTAGCACCTCTACCTTTTTGGGCTTGTCTGGTAGAGAGACCTTAAAAGCTACTTTAAGTAAACATGTCTTGGCTACTTCCCCTCAAGCCTGGCACCAAGCCCTTGCTGTGCAGCCCTGTGCCCTGGCCTGGCTCACCCAGTGCCTTCCCCCCCTCCCGTGGCAGGCTCTCCTGGGGTCTGCAAGGCCCTGCCCAGTGGACAAGGAGCTCTGAAGGACAGCACTGATCCCCACCCCCTCCTGTCGCACTGGTTGGGCAGAGCAGTCCTAGTCACCCTTATCAGTGCTGAAGCTTCTATGGCAATTTCCTCCATCCTCCACCCCAAGGGCCTCCTCTTGGGCTTCCCAGGCCCAACCTCACCACTCAGAGCCACAGAAGCCATGTGACAACAATGAGACTAACCTACTTCTGGCACCCACGGGACCCTTTTCCTTAGAATGGCTTAAGTAGCCGGCTGCCACCCTCCCAGATTAAAAGAGGTTCACCTTCCTGTGACCTTCACCATGTCATTCATCTTGTAGACAGTGTATCGTATTTGTCCTCTTTCAAGTCACAGGCCTCCATCGCTGTTGGCAGAGGAGGACCCCAGGGTGAGTCCCAGCAGACAGCCACTGAGGCCTGGTCACTGGCCTAGCCCCTCCTTAGATCCAGGCCATCCCTTCCTTACTGCCCACACTTCTTCTAGACCCCAGCTGTCCAGAGCAGCCTCTTCCAGGTGCGGTCTGCCACACTAGAACCAGATGGGTCCCCACTAGCTGCAGGTTCCCAGGCCTGCACAGCTGAGGGGCCTGTGCATACAGGGTGGGCAGGACACCTGCACTTACACCAGCTCTTAAAGTCTGAAAACTATAGGTTTTGCATAGCAATTGGAGTGATGAAGACAGATAGGTACTTTTGAAAACCAAGTATGCTTTAATAATTAAATTTAACTTACATCTGGAATACTTAACTTTTTACACAAACTTTAAAATAGCAGCTATTTCACATACAAAAAGCACAAAGCAACATTCCTAACTCCCTACAGAAGAGGGACACCCTCAGGGCCACTGTGCCAATCCCAGGCCCAGCCCATCCTTCTAGCCGCAAAAAGATATTTTCTGGCTTTTCCTCCCCCAACTCCCACATCAAACACAATTATTTTCTAAAAAAAATTTTTTTTTCGGTCAAATGCCGCTTCAGTGAAGAGTATTCTCTACTCAGAACTTGAGGAGTGGAGAATCCATGTTTTCCTTGTCGGCCTCGGGGCTCAGCTGGATCAGTGGGGAGCCCAGGTCAATCAGCTGGAAGAGAGCAGAGGGGCAGGTTAACAGCTTCTCTGGGCTGGCCATCCCACAGCTCCCACTCTGGAGGCTGCAGTGGCCTAGAAGACAGGTGGACCTGGGGCTTAGTTCCAGAAAAACTCAGTAGCCCAGTTCAGGTGCATTTAAGGGAACCTCAACCACTGTGACTAAGAGACTGGGAGGAATAAAGCCTCAGATCCTCACACATGGTACTGCCCCCTAACACCATGAATTTAAGGGAAAGAAGGGTACAGACAGGCCCTGACATCCAGGAGATCCAGGCCTCAGGGGCAGTGACTTCTTTTTCCTTCTTTTGGGAAGTACTAGGGTTTGAACTCAGGGCCTTGCATTTACCAGGCAGGCACTCTACCACTTGGGCCACATACCCAGTTCTTCGAGCTAACGTGGACCATGGTCCTATTTTCACTTCCAGCATAGCTAGACAACGTGCACCCAGCTTTTACCTTCAAGATGGGGTCTCCCAGACTTTTGTCCCGAGTGGCCTCAACTGCAATTCTCCTGATCTCCACATTCCACGCCCCCCCCAATCCTCTGTCCCCCAATAGCTAGGATTTCAGGTGTGAGCCAGCATGCCTAACTGGTGGGTGGCTTCTGAGAAGCTGAGGTTGAGTCATACATGGACTCAAGGGATTAAGAACGCAGGACTACAGCACCCCAGACCCAAGTCAGCATGTATCACCTGCCGCTGTTCGGCTCCCGGGGGCTTTACTGCACCGTTTCTGCCCACATCTGGGGTATTCATCATGAGGTCCATCAGGGGCCTGCTGTGCAGTCCCAGCCCGGCACCCATCTCAGGTGTACTGCAGAAGTTGATGAGGGAGAGGGCGGCTGGGGGTCTGCCTTCCTCAGGAGCAAGGCTGAGCTGATCCAGCCCCACATCGATGAGGGGGAGGGCGGCTGGGGGCCTGCCTTCCTCAGGAGCAGTGCTGAGCTGATCCAGCCCCACATCGATGAGGGGGAGGGCGGCTGGGGGTCTGCCTTCCTCAGGAGTGGTGCTGAGCTGATCCAGCCCCACATCGATGAGGGGGAGGGCGGCTGGGGGCCTGCCTTCCTCAGGAGCAAGGCTGAGCTGATCCAGCCCCACATCGATGAGGGGGAGGGCGGCTGGGGGCCTGCCTTCCTCAGGAGCAGTGCTGAGCTGATCCAGCCCCACATCGATGAGGGGGAGGGCGGCTGGGGGTCTGCCTTCCTCAGGAGTGGTGCTGAGCTGATCCAGCCCCACATCGATGAGAGGAAGGGCGGCTGGGGGTCTGCCTTCCTCAGGAGCGATGCTGAGCTGATCCAGCCCCACGTCGATGAGGGGGAGGGCGGCTGGGGGTCTGCCTTCCTCAGGAGCGGTGCTGAGCTGATCCAGCCCCACGTCGATGAGAGGGAGGGCAGCTGGGGGTCTGCCTTCCTCAGGAGCGGTGCTGAGCTGATCCAGCCCCACATCGATGAGGGGGAGGGCGGCTGGGGGCCTGCCTTCCTCAGGAGCAATGCTGAGCTGATCCAGCCCCACATCGATGAGGGGGAGGGCGGCTGGGGGCCTGCCTTCCTCAGGAGCAGTGCTGAGCTGATCCAGCCCCATGTCAATGAGAGGGAGGGCGGCTGGGGGTCTGCCTTCCTCAGGAGCGGTGCTAAGCTGATCCAGCCCCATGTCAATGAGGATAGCCTAGAAAGGGACATAGTTGGAGGGAGAACCCAACACCCTTGTCAGCCATCATGGAAAGTTGTAGGCCCCTCCTGAGGGAAAGTACCTTTCAGGTAGTGTGGGGCTGCCCTGCCCCCACTTCCTGACCCCCAACCAGCTCCTTAGCCAAACACTTCTGTGGCCCTGGGTCCTGAAGGGTCTAGATCTGCAGGAACTGGTTGCCCAGAGACAGGGTGAGTCATTCTGTGGCCAGTGGGCCTCCGCCTACCTCTCTAGGGTTTGAGCCACTGCAAGGTTTGGCTTCATCCCGAGCCTCTCCTACAGTGGAGCCTTCTGGAGAAAAATCACTTTTCTCAGGAGAAAAATGAAGAGCCTGAGGTATGAAGAATGGAGGTGAAGGGCTCTCACTGGAGGACAGACCGAGGCCCACCTGCGCACAGCTGGCCTTCTGCTGGAGCTCCTGTGCCAGCTCAGTTCTACAAGAGAAGGAAAATGTTACAAAAACGTTACCCTGAGCTCTGGTTGGGGCTGAAGCAAACTTCTGGAAGACCATCCCATCGCAGGAGCTGCAGCTGGTGCCACACACCTGCAAGGGCAGCTCGCTGTAAATACGTCCTCCCTTTCACGCCTGTTTCTTGTGCAAGAGGATCATTTTCCTTTCAACCCCAAATCCTCACCAGCCCGGTTTTACCTTTGCCCACTTCAGCCCCTCTCTTCAGTCACTCAACAGGAAGAGAGGAGCGACCACACACGTCGGGGAACCACCTCTGTCCACTGCTGGGGCGCCTAGAGGCTCTCATGCCTAACCCTGTCTGCTCTGCCTCCCCTAAGACCTCGCCCTTTCCCATCCACAGGAGGTCTAGCCTGAGCCCAGCCAGGCACTGGACGTTCATGCCATAACAGGCTTCCCCAGTGGTGCATCTTTGGTAACCAATAGGCACCAGACAGGCATGCCTACAATACCAATGCAGCCCACAGTACCCAACTCTCAAAACTATTGCTGAGAAGCCAGGCATCAGTGGCTCAAGCCTGTAACCCTAGCTACTCAGGAGGCTGAGATCTAAGGATCATGGTTTGAAGCCAGCCTGAACCGTGAGACTCTCATCTCCAACAAACTACTCTGAAAATGCTGGAAGTAGCATTGTGGCTCAAGTGGTAGGCAAAGAAGTCAGGGACAGTGCCCAGGCCCTGAGTTCAAGTCTAGCCCTAGGATCTGCAAAACAAACAAACAAACAAAAAAAAGCCTATTACTGAGGAAAACACTGAAAGCATCACTATCCATGAATTGGTTAGGAACATCTTATTTTTTGACTCAAAGGTTTCTAACACCTATAAAAATTATTTTTTTTAATACTTATAAGCAAACAACACACTTAAACCATGCCCATACCAAATAGCAGGCCCAGTCTGTGTGGTCTTCTCTCTTCCCCTGCGTCACTCCCTGGCAGGACAGACTAACCTCTTCCGTGTCTTACCTCACCATAGACCTCTTCCGGGGCTCGGAGGACAATCGCCGAGCAGGCCCGCACAGCGGGGAAGCCAGAGCCCTAGGCACAGACTGTGGGGTCATCAGTGGGAGGCCAGAGAGACGCCGGGGAGAAGGGGTGGGCAATGCTGACACTCGCCGTGCGCTTACGGGAGTCCTTGTACCGGACAGATCTTGTGATGCCGGCCCCAGTGAGCGTCTCACAGGTGTGCTGTGAACAGTGGCCCTGGCAAAGACAGCATCCAAGACTTGAGCAGAGATGACTTCAGCAAAGCCCAGTCTACCTCGTGAGCATGACGTCATCCAACGCTGCACCATCATGACCACTCTGTGGTCTCACCAGAGTCCAGCGCAGAGGTCAGGGGCTCTGTCCCTGAGCGGGGCTCCAACACAGGCTGGACTTAGGCATGCTAGCCCTGGCATCAGGTTTCTCAATAGGCAGTGCCCCACAGGTCACCAAGACAATCAGCTGGGCTGCACCTCCCAGATGGCACCCCTGAGACTCAATGGCATTGTGAACGCCCCATGAGAAACTGGACTCTCTTCTCCCTAGCTGGGGACAAATGGGCAAGCCGACTTCATGGTGTGCTATTTACTTAGATTTAAGGCTGTTATCAGAGCCAGGTGCCCATGGCTCATGCCTGTAATCCCAGCTGCGAGAAGGCTGCAATCTGAGGATCTAGGTTTGAAGCCAGCCTATGCAGACAAGTCTGTGAGACTCTTTATCTCTAATCAAACAAGGGCTGGGAGGATGGCTCAGTGGCAGAGTACTTGCCTTGCATGAAAGAGGCCCTGGGGGGGCTGGGAAGGTGGCTCAGTGGTAGAGTGCTTGCCTTGCATGCATGAGGCCCTGGGTTCGATTCCTCAGCACCACATAAGTAGAAAAAGCTGGAAGTGGCACTGTAGCTCAAGTGGTAGAGTGCTAGCCTTGAGCTGAAGAGCTGAGGGACAGCGCCCAGGCCCAGAGTTCAGGCCCCACAACCGGACCTCCCGCCCCCCAAAAAAGAGGTCCTGCGTTCAATTCCTCAGCACCACATACACAGAAAAAGCAGGAAGTGGTGCTGTTGCTTAAGTGGTATAGCGCTCACCTGGAGCTGAAGAGCTCAGGGACAGTGCCCAGGCCCTGAGTTCAAGCCCCACGACCAACCAAAAAAAAAAAAGCATCTAATCAAACAACAAAAAAAGCTGAAAATTAGGAGGACACTGGTGACTTATGTCTGTTACCCTAGCTGCTCAGGAAGCTGAGATCTGAGGATGGCAGTTCAAAGTCGGCCCGGGCAGGAAAGTCCACAAGACTCCTATCTCCAATTAATCACACAAAGCTAGAAATGGTGCTGTAGCTCAAACGGTGGGATGCTAGCCTTGTGCAAAAAAAGGAACTTAGGAGCAGCACCCAGGCCTGAGTTCAAGGCCCAGTAGCTACAAAAAAAAGAAAAAAAAAAGTAGAGGTGTGGGTCAAATGGTAGCATGCTAGTTTTGAGTGAAAAAGGCAGGAGGGTGCAAAGCCCTGAGTGCTATTACACACTTGCACACACACACACACACACACACACAGACCCTTGTCAAGGTTAAGCACGGGAGTAGAAACAGGGAACCAGGTATTTGACTCTCCTCATGGCATGTCCTGGCACTATCCATGACAGTACCACATCTGGCCAGAATGCTGGTTTTTGTTCATAGAGGAGAGGCTGTAATGAGTGTGGATTAAATGTTTGTAGGCCTCAAATGCCTATGTCGAAGTCTCCAAGAAGAGGGTCTTAGGAAGCCAGCCTCTGAGAGGCCATTAGGGCCGAGAGCAGCGTCCTTGCGTGGGAAGGACCAGTGACTCACAGGAGGCAGAGTGTATGCTCGCTCTTCTACCACAGGAAGACCCGGGGAAAGGTCCTACCATGACCAAAGCAATGGGCCCTTGTCAGACACCGAGTCTGTTATCGAGCTGGGAGAGTGAAATTCTGTCATTTAAACTCCAAGATCCTCAGCCTGGGAAGTCTGAAGTAGGAGTATGAGTTCCAGGCCAGCCTGGGATACTTCGCAAGACACTGCCTAAAGACAAAATGACACCAAGACTATAGTGCTTGTTACAGTCATGAAAAGGAAACAACTCAGGACAGAGTACCAACGTGGAGCTCACGGCAGGACTCATCTATAGGCTCTGTCCTCAACTAAGGGCAGTTTTGGGTTCTTCAGAGTCTGAAAACAGTACACTAACACTGACAAAGAGACTGCAAGCTCCCTGCACCCAGCATGCTGGCGGGGGCGAGGGCGGGTGGGGGTGTTGTGGAGAGGCAGCTCTCCCACAGCACCAGCAAGGACAGAGATGCCAACGAGCACGACCCTGCGGGGCCCTAGGATGGGGGGCGTTCTCACCAGGTGGAAGGACATGGTGGCACTCGGTGTGGCAGGAGTCACCTCAGCAAGGGCAGTGCTGTGAGGGATACTGTGGTCACATCCAAGTCCAGGAAAGCCCATCACCACGTCCCTTGCTGAAGAGCCACAGCTGCTCCATGGCAGAGCCCCAGTCCGGAAGCCTGGCCCAGACCTTATTCTGCTGCGCCCAGGCCGGGAGTCACGAATGCAGCAGCTCCCAGTCCCTCCCCACTCGCCCCCCCACGTGTGAGGACTCCTCGGAGCACAGGGAGCAGTGCTGGCACCTGACTCACGAGTGTCAGGAAAGGCTGCATCAGCAGGTGCCTGCCAGGGCTGCCACTCGAGGTCCTCAGTGTGGCAAGACCATCCTGCAGGGCTGGGAGTGCACCACCCCACTGCAAAACCTGGGGGATTTCAAATCCCCTGCAGATTGCAGATATGCAGCGGCTCCCAGGAGCTCCCACACTCCAGGAAGCAGCAGTGTCTCAGTCCTCATTGGAAGGAGAAGGAAGTAGATGTAGGTGAGTTACCTGCCAGCCGCTGCCCACGACTGCAGCCACTGTGCCCGGGAGGACTTCGGTGTCACGCCTTTCAGGGATTCACCTGAGACAAAGAAAAGGGTGCGGTGAGTCACAGGAGAATCAGGTAGGAAGCCTGTGGCCGGGGCGCTGTCCCTCAGCTCTTCAGCTCAAGGCTAGCACTCTAACACTTGAGCCACAGTGCCACTTCCAGCTTTTTCTACTTATGTGGTGCTGAGGAATCGAACCCAGGGCCTAATGCATGCATGCAAGGCAAGCACTCTACCACTGAGCCACCTTCCCAGCCCTGCCTGAGAGACTCTTAACTTCAATTAACCAGAAAAAAAAAAAAAAAAGAAGTGGAGCTGTGGCTCAAGTGGTAACAGAGCCAACCTTGAGAAAAAAGCTTAGGAATTGGCACCCAGACCCTGAGTTCAAACCCCAGTTCCAACTATTGGGAATAAGAGCTAGGGCTGGTACAGCCATACTAGATCATGAGGAAGAAAAGCTAATCACGGCAAAACAAGACCAAAGACAAGCCTGGGTTCCTAACATCATCCATGAAGTCTACTCAGATTTTGATATTGCAAATCTTATCAGAGCCAGTGCTGTCCACCTGGAAGGGAGAAGGTAATGTCTTCAGAGTTACTGTCTGCCTCCTTCCGTGGCCACCTGGCTGGCCTCTTACCACTCTGAGCCTCAGTCTCTACATTTGTAAAATAATGTCCTTTAATAATGATATGAGAAAAAAAAAGGCTAACGTGTTCAGTGCCTCAAGAGGTTTCTAAAGTAAGATCATTAGACAAAAAAGCCAAAACTAAACTCATTCAGCAAACAACTGGCTTTTCTTTAGAAAAACTACAACACAGCCTGGCACTGGTGGCTCACATCTGTAATCCTAGCTACTCAGGAGGCTCTGAGGATCACAGTTCAAAGCCAGCCCAGGGCAAGAAAGTCCATGAGACTCTTGTTTCCAAATAACCACTAGAAAACCAAAAGTGGAGCTACGGTTCAAAGTGGTAGAGTGCTAGCCCTGAGCAAAAGCATTCAGGGACAGTGCCTAGGCCCTGAGTTCAAGCCCTGCCACTGCCAAAAAAAGAGAAAAAAGAAAAAAAAAAAGCTGTAACACACATACCAGATTGAAGCTCTGCTCTTGCTTCCAAGGTTATTACTACCTGTAGACTGGACTGGACCCTAACTTTTAGACAACTCCAATTTAATTTTCCTCCACAGATCTACTAAGAAAAAAAACTGCTTTTTACTAAAGCCCCATGAACTGAAGCTGCACACTCTGGAGGAAACTGAGGGATAAGCCTTGACCCGCTATGTGAGCCACACAGAAAGTTCATCAACCCATACATGCCCTTGCCAGACACTGGACCACAAACAGTGAAAACTCATGTCAGATTATAACCTTTCTTCTTTTCACTTGGCACCAGCAGATCCTGTGGTGTAACACAGCGACTGACTCCAGCTACCTCTTCCAGACCATACTAGTGGCTCCTTTCTAACTCTTTATCCAACCTGGCCCCATGTCTTTACTCTGCACTCGTTACTTGCTGCATAAGAAAATGTCTGTGCTATTGCCCACATGGCTGTGCTGTGTCTGGGGACTGAGAACTGCACATGCCACAGAACAGGCTAACCACTCAGCATCTCAGCCTGGCTCCCTCAGCATTGGGCCTGTTCGCTCAGTCACTGCCAAGCCTAGGTTCTCACTCAAAACCATTATGTAGTCTTGTGTTTGTCACGTTCGTTAGTTGTTTTTTTTTTTTTGTTTTTTTTTTTTGGGTCCAGTCATGGGGCCTGAACTCTGGGCCTGGGCGCTGTCCCTCAGCTCTTCAGCTCAAGGCTAGCGCTCTACCACTTGAGCCACAGCACCACTTCTGGCTTTTTTCTTTTTGCTTATGTGGTGCTGAGGAATCGAACCCAGGGCCTCGAGCATGCAAGGCAAGCGCTCTACCACTGAGCCACCTTCCCAGCCCTTTTGTTTTGTTTTTGGGTTTTTGTTTTTTTTTTGGGTCTGGTCATGGGGCCTGAACTCTGGGCCAGGGCGCTGTCCCTCAACTCTTCAGCTCAAGGCTAGCGTTCTACCACTTGAGCCACAGTATTACTTCTGGCTTTTTTCTTTTTATGTGGTGCTAAGGAATCGAACCCAGGGCCTCATGCATGCAAGGCAAGAGCTCTACCACTGAGCCACCTTCCCAGCCCCTCGTTCGTTAGTTTTGTTCCTTGTTTTCCTTGTTAAAACATGTACCTGTTACCTATAAGGTAACAAGTTCTAACAAAATAGCACTGTGATAATGGCCAAAGCTCATGACAAAACTCAACTTTGTGTGACATAAACCCATTAGGCTCATGTGCAGGGCCTTTACCAAACATGGCCTTCTATCTGCAAGATACCGTGTGGCACTTTCTGCCAAAGGCCCAGGATGCAGCCATTCAAGGCAGGCCAGCCTCATAGGAGGACACAGAGGCTGGAGCCCAGGGGTCTGACACAGCTGGAATAAGAGGGAAAAGGAAGCAACAGGGAGAAGGAATCTCTCGAGTCTCTGGCTGAAGAGCAGAAGCATACCCATGTAAGGCAAGACTCCTTAGAGTTAGACAAGAAGAGCTACTGGGAACAGCAACCAGGGCGCTGGCATAGCTAGGAAGCAGGCTGGACAGAGCCAGCTGAACACACACATTAAGCAAAGGCCTTTGCTAGTGACAGGCCCAAGGCCCCATCCCCAGGCCTATTCTAGACCTGCCCCATCAGAACTTAAGAAGCCTGCAGTGGATGTTGACTGCCAGCCCAACAAAGCAAAACTCAATTCTTTAAAACAAACAAACAAAAAACAAAACCCCACAATCTAGACATTAAAAATTGTATATCTGATACAGCCAACAGCAGAAAACTGTGACCATAACCAGAAAAAGAATTAGCCACAGACCCCAAAATGACAGAGAAGATGCAATCACAAGAAACTGACTTAAAACCACAACCATTATAAATATGCTCAAAGATGTAAAAGAAAAATGGGAAAGCATGACAGAAATTAGAGCAGGCTTAATGGCAGATTAGACTGCAGAAGAACAGATACAAGAACTGAAGACATAACTAGGGACAATCCAAACTGGAGCACAAGAAAAAAGCTGAAAGAGCCTCGATGGCTAGGAAACCATGTCAACAGGTTTAGGAAAAAGAGAGAAACAAGAAAAGCTTTTCCAACTAGGTACGGGTGGCTCGCACGTGTAATCCTAGCTACTCAGAAGGCTTAGATCTAAGGATCACAGTTCAGAGCACCCCAGGCAGTCTCATCTCTGATTGACCAGCAAAACAAAAAACAAGTGGAGGTGTGGCTCAAGTGGTAGAGAACCAACCTTGAGTGAAAAAGCCAAGCTAGAGCTTGAGGCCTTGAGTTCAAGCCCTATTACTAACGTGCACACATGCGCGCGCGCGCGCGCACACACACACACACACACACACACACACACACACAAACACACACGAAAATTATTTTTCTTTCTTTCTTCTTTTCTTGGTGCTAGTTCTGGGGCTTGAACTTAAGAGCCTGGCCGCTATCCCTGAGCTAATTTTTTGCTCAAACCTAATACTCTACTACTTGAGCCATAGCTCCATTTCCAGCTTTTTGCTGGTGGACTGGAGAAGAGTCTCACAGACTTTCCTGCCTAGGTCAGTATTGAACTGTGATCTTCGGACCTCAGACTCCTGAGTAGCTACGATAATAGACATGAGCCACCAATGCCTGAATAGAGAAAGCATTTTTAAAAAGTAATGTCATCATTTTCCAGACTTGAAGGAAACTATCAACCATAGATCAAAGCCTAAGCCATTGCCAACAAGGTAAACACAGAGATGAGCAAAGTGCAGCCAAGCTGCTGCAGACAGCAGTGAGGAGACTAAGAACAGCCCAAGAGCACCCACATGGGGGGGACAGGGAACCCTGATTTGTCCCACACAGGGGGACAGGAAACCCCGATAATTTGTCCCACACTGGAGGACTGGGAACCCCAATGATTTGTCCCACACAGGGTGACAGGAAACCCCAATGATTTGTCCCACACAGGGTGACAGGAAACCCCGATGATTTGTCCCACACGGGGGGACAGGGAACCCCGATGATTTGTCCCACATGGGGTGACAGGGAACCCCGATGATTTGTCCCACATGGGGTGACAGGGAACCCCGATGATTTGTCCCGCACGGGGTGATAGGGAACCCCGATGATTTGTCCCACATGGGGTGATAGGGAACCCCGATGATTTGTCCCGCACGGGGTGACAGGGAACCCCGATGATTTGTCCCACACGGGGTGATAGGGAACCCCGATGATTTGTCCCGCACGGGGTGACAGGGAACCCCGATGATTTGTCCCACACGGGGTGATAGGGAACCCCGATGATTTGTCCCGCACGGGGTGACAGGGAACCCCGATGATTTGTCCCACACGGGGTGATAGGGAACCCCGATGATTTGTCCCACACGGGGTGACAGGGAACCCCCAGAGCAACACAGCGCAGCTAGCAGACACGACTTGGAAAGACAGCCAACAGAGCCAGCACCTGAGGATATCTTGGCAAAAAAATCTCAAGTAGCATTTCTTCCACAATCAAAAAAAACATTAACACTTATGTTACTCACCAACAGGACACGTAGGAACTTTAAATGGATTTGCAGGGGCAAGCTCTGCCTTTGTCTTGGCATTTAGACAGAAGTCCTGCCTGCTTAGGCCTCTAGTTCCATTCAGTTGAGATGTCGAGGAAACGGAGTGAGGATCCAGCCTCAGGCCTCCAGCCTCAGGCATCTGGGACTGGGCAAGAGGGGAGGGGGTGGGCAACTTGGGCTGCTCTGCTGACACCTGGGCCACGCTGGGCCTCCTGGCTAGCCCACATGGTGGTCCTGCTGGGGCTGCTGGCAGAGGCTGGCGCAGCATGGTGAGACCTGCTCTGCTCAGCTTGCTGATATGCGACAGAGGCCGGGAGCTGCCAGAGGGAATACCTGTCCGCTCACTTGGCTTGGCTGCAAGAGGAGAGACACACAACTGTAAGCATTGTGCCCAACTTTGGTCCTCAGCTCCACCCAGACCTGAGCTCCTCCCAGCCCTGGAGTTCCCACCTTATGGCTGGCCCCTCCCTCTCTCCACCCAGACCCACCTGAACGCTCATCTACCTCACTTCCTACCACCCAGACCTTGCTGCTACCTAGACAGTGGACGCTGCCATGTGCTCTCTCTCTGGGGGAAATACGGCTCCTCCAATAAACGTTGTAATAATCTTTCTCTTGTGCCTGCCTGCCTGCCTCCGTGTGGTCCTCTGGCATGGAGGTGGTGGATCCTAAGAACCCTGCACAGAGTTACACTGTCACCTTGGTTTGTAAAGGCAAGGATCCAGTGTCTCACTACTAGCTGGGCAGCAGTGGCTCATATCTATAATCTGAGCTACTCAGGAGGCTGAAACCTGAGGATTGCATTTGAAGCCAGTCTGGGCAGCAAAGTCTGTGACTCTTATCTCCAATGAACCACCAAACAGCTAGAAGTGGAGCTGTGGCTAAGTGGTAGAGCACTAGCCTTTTGCATAAAAGCTCAGGGACAGTGCCCAGGCCCTGAGTTCAAGCCCCAATACTACTGAGAGTGGCAGAGTGGACTCCAGATTGGGTGGGTCTGACATGAGAATCCATGCTTTCCTCATGCTGTTCTGGACAGTGTAGACAGTGTCTACAAGGGTTTTGCCCTGTACCACTAGATGGCAGTCTTGGCTTGGCAAGAGAAATATACCTAAATTTCCACAGGTATGGCCTTGGGGCTCCTCCATACTGTCCAGATGCAAATAACCTGGACAATATGATCTTAGCCCCTGCATCTGATGACACAAACATGAGGCTGTGGAAGCATCATCCTATGTGGTGGCACTGGGTGACTGTGTAGACCAAGTGAAGTACTCAAGGGTGGATGGGACAGTGTCTTCCCTGACCACTGTCCAGCCCTTCAGTGTCCTGAAGGAACCCGGGCAGAGGACGGGGGAGCAGCTCTCTAAAAAGATGGCAGAGGAATAGACTGCATTCCAAGGCTCGCCAGTCGTGTAGCTGGTCAGGACATGAGAAGATGACACTCACCTCTCCCTGCTGCTGGAGACACACTTACAGCAGACCCTGAGGAAGAGGGCTTCCTCGCGAGACTCCCAGCGCAGCCAGGCGGTTTTAACAGGGTTTTCTTCAGCCCAAGCTGAGACAAAATGTTAAAAAGACAGAATCAGCAAAAATTTCCACCCATGTTTATTTCTATAAAAGGATTTCTAAGTGATTTTTAATAATGATCATCTTGAATTTGCAGAAAAATGCTAAGTTGTCCCTTGATAGCACGGGGATTTTTTTTCAGGACCCCTGTAGAAACCAGAGTCCATGGGTCCTCAAGTCCCTCCTATGGAAGGGCTCAGTGTATGCACAGAACCCACATGTCCTCATACCTACTGTTCGTCATCTTCTTCTAGGTGACTTATAATACCCAATGCAATGTAAGTGCCAGGTAAAAGCTACTGAACAGTTTCTCACACCTGAAATTCCAACAACTACCCAGAAGGCAGAAACTGAGAGGACCAAGGTTCAAGGCCAGCCTATGCAAAGATGTGAGCCTCTACCTCAACCAGTAAGTCAGGCATGGTAGTATGTGCCTGCATACACAGAAGGATGAGTCAGAGGTCAGCCTCAGGTAAAACGTGAGACCCTACCTGAAAAATAACTCAAAAATGAAAAGGTTTGAAATGGCTCATGTAGTAGAGCTGAGAAGTGTGAGGCTCTGAGTTCAAACCCCAGAATGTCAATAATGACAAGAAAAAAGTCAGAACAGATGCAACTTATTTGTTCTGAATTTTCAATCTGTGATCACGGAGCCCAGATGTGGATCTGACCGACGCAGACAGCTGGCTGACTTCTCAAAATGGAGATTTCAAACCTTTGCCTGAGGACCCCATGGAGCAGGGTGAATGGCAGATCTGGGGACCCCAATTTAGACACCTTTCACAAGGACTGCCAGTGATTTCTTACACAATGCTCAGTCACTGCCAATGCAAGAAAACAAATGGCCAGAAAACTGCAGTTGCCGTGCGCATGAAGTATAGGCCCACACTGTCAGCCTGCCTTCTTTGCAGGCCTTCCTCCGAGCAGCCTCTCCACTGGTCCCAGCTTTTAATCAAAAGGCAGACCCCATATGGTACACAGCCACTACCTTGTTCCCACACAGCCGCCCCCTCATTCCCACACTCACCTTGTTTGTAACTGGGAGCAACCGCTCACCCTGGCCTAAGTGGCTTCCACTCGCTGGCAGTAACATGAACTCACTGAGGACCTGTTGACTCCCAGAGTCCTTCCTGAAGCCCCGGAGAGCTCTGCACTAAGTGCCCCCCACTCCATGCCCACCACAGCTCAGTTCCCTCTAGGAGACCACAGGCTCCATACTGGTGTGGACAATGGGCCCTTTTCCAGCCCCCAGCAAGGTCCCCAAGCACCCAGGCCTGACATCCACCCATGCCACAAGTCCAAACACTACCACTCTCGTTCCCACTCACCTTGTTCGGGACTGGGAGCGACCGCTTGCCCTGACCCAGGCGGCTTCTGCCCGCTGGCAGGGTGGTGGCATCCAGGGCAGTGGCAGGTCTGTCTGGGCACACTTCCCCAGGGAATCCTCTGTCATCTCGGGGTCTCGCCTTGGAGGGACTAGCTGCTGTCTCTTTCTTGGGCTGGAAATGTTTATTGGGAATGTGAGAACTATGTGGCCTCCAACAAGGTCTGGGGACACAGGCTTCAGTTCAGAGCAAGCTCAGGCGGGACTTCCTCCCCATAAATACTACTACGCTCCTCAATTCACCAAACACCATGCCCCAAAGTGATGTGACGGCACCTTGCTAAGGGCTGACACGAAGAACTGGGTTCTAGCTCTATACATTTCCATGTGCGGGCCAAGAGGATCCTTCATTACATGCTCAGCTCTGCCAGAGAGGCCGCTTGGCATCAGTATGTCTCTACTGAAAGCATTAAGGACCCCAAGGGCCCAGTGGACCGGGGTTCAGGTTTTGGGGTGCCATCACAAGCACTCACATTATATGCAGTCACTCTCGATTCCCTAAGCCCGCCCAGGGCTCAGCCGTGCCTGACACAGCTGACATTAGTGTCTGCTGCTATCCTGGGCTTGTTGTCTGAATAACCCCCATTCTGTCTACCTTCTCCATGACCAGCTGAAGGTGTTTGCCTCTCGCAGACAAAGCTCGGGGCGGCTGCAACCGGGTCATCTTCGGAGGCACAGTGTGATTTGGAGGGCGGGCAGCACTCGGCCCCTCTGGCAAAGGTTGAGATGAGTGAGGTGGTATTGGGGCAGGGTGGGCTCTGGCTGGAGCAGCAGGCCGCACTGGAGAGCAAGGCGGGAGCTGGGGCTCCCCAGAGTGGGGCTGGTCTCCGGAGGAGCTCTTCAAGGGGCTATCCAACAGGAAGTATGTTTCTCTTTTAAGAGACTTGGGGCTCTTCTCCATTTCCTGTACTCTGTTAAAGAGGTTTATTTTTAACTTTGATTCTTGGACAAATCTTTCCATGTCCTGGCTCCAAGAGGCTTCAGGCTGGGTGGGCGGGGCCGCCTCTCTCCTGCTGCAGCTTTCTATCTGCAGGGCAAGTAAGTGAGCCTCTTTGTACACCTCCACAAACTTCTCCCCGGTGAGGGGGCTCCAGGTGCAGGGGCTGGCAGCTACTGGCAGCACGGGCTGCTCGGGAAGCTTCTTGCTGAATTCTATGTTGGCGGCGATGCATCTTTCCTTGTGCCCAACAGGTCCAAAAAACACTTCATCGTCTTCATTTGTGCTAATGTTAAAGGAAGGATCATTAGTGACTAAAGACACCAGCATTCAAATGGAAGAAAGTGGCAGTGCCAGGATAGGGAAGAAAATGTGTTTACCTGGAAGAAGATGAGAGATCGAAGTCAAACTTTTCATCGGCCAAAAGACAAAAGTCTGCAGAGGGGGAAAAGTCCATTGTTATGCTAAAGCACGACCAATTTCTATGGGTACCAAAGCGACTGCAAAATCACACCCCCAAATTGTGACCAATCATTTTTATTGTAAGGGTGCCAATTATTATTTTAACTATGCTTTCATAGGGAGCTCTAGATGAGCTTATTTTTTCCCCCATTTTCTACTTAAAATGCACCAGCTGTTGAGTTTGCTAAGCTACCTAACAAAAGCACAAAGCTTTTTTTGTGCTATAATCTCAAAAGTAGTCACTGAGTCATTCGCTGACTTTTCAAGAGTTGTCATCTTAAGGCACAGAACATTTCAAAAGCCCACCTGGCTCAGTTCCCCCAGTGGTATCTCCTTTTTATATGCCACAAAATATCTATTCATCCTTCAACCAGAGTCCTTCTCGAAGCACTGTGCCCCCACCCATGCCCACCACAGCCTTCGTTGCCCTGTTTATTTACCCAACTCAGTTCCCTCTAGGAGATCACATGCTCCACACCGATGTGGACAATGGGCCCTTTCCAGCCCCCACCAAGGTCTCCCAGAGCCCCCAGGCCTGACACCCACCCATGCCACTGGTCCGAACACCCCCTAACTGCCAATGGCCTCAACAGCTGGGCTGATGGCTCCAAGACAATGAGTGCCTACCAGGTCCCCAAGCTCCCCATCACCAGCAGAGGGCCTGGACGCTTAATGAACCACTGCTGAAAGGCATGGAACAGATCCTTCCACACTACAGAGTCACAAAGTACTATGTTCTTTGTTCTTTTTTTTTTTTTTTTTTTTGGGGGTCTGGTCGTGAGGCCTGAACTCTGGGCCTGGGCGCTGTCCCTCAGCTCTTCAGCTCAAGGCTAGTGCTCTACCACTTGAGCCATAGCTCCACTTCCGGCTTTTTTCTTTTTGCTTATGTGGTGCTGAGGAATCGAACCCAGGGACTCAGGCATGCAAGGCAAGCGCTCTAACCACTGAGCCACCTTCCCAGCCCATGTTCTTTGTTCTTAATAAGCAATGGTGCATGTTTGTCAATATTGTGGAACTTGAAAATATACCAGTATCTTAATTAGGTCCCTAACTAATCAAGTAAATAGTCCCATTTGTCTAATCAAACAGAAACACATTAGAGCTGGGGGTACGGCTCAGTAGTAGAATATGTGCTCAGTGTGCACAAGGTCCAGAGTTAATGCCCAAGCCCCGTCCAGGAGACAGGTACGATGCACCAATGTACCAAGGAATAAGGAATACCCATGAGAGAGGAAGCTGAAAGATTCAATCTATGCATGTTAATACATGAACTTGTTAACACTGATCATTTTCCAGGAAAAAAAAAAGTTTTGTACTTAAATCATATATGAAACTCAGCCTAGAACCCGAAAGATAAATCCTAACAATTAGTTCAGTGATCCTAAAACAACTGGAAAGAGAATTAAACAGTCATTCTTAGCTGAGCACCACGGCTCCTGCTGTCATCCTACCTACATGGGAGCTGAAATGGATTACAGTCCAAAGCCTGCCTGGAAGTTTGTAAGACCCTTCTCAACCAATAGCTGGGCTTTCTGGCACACCTGTCATCCCAGCTTCATGGGAAAGGGAGATCAGGAGGATCAAGGTTCCAGGTGAGCCCAGGAAGAAAAGTTTGCAAGACTCTGTCTCAGGGAAGAAGCTCACATTGGAAGCATCCTCCTTTATTCTGCCAGGTCTGTACCTGGGGGGAAGGGCGAGGGGGGAGGGAGGACAACAAAACAAAACCCTAACTCAACAAGTACCCTGCGAAGCTAGGCACCAGCGACCCATGCCCTATATTCCTAGCTACTTATGAGATCCAAGGATTGAAGTTCTAAGTCAGCCTGGGCAGAAAAATTCTTATTTCCAATTAACTAGAAAAAAGCCAGAAGAGGGGCACGGTTCAAATGGTAGAGTACCAATTGTGAATGAAAAGGCCAAAGCTCTGAGTTCAAGCTCTAGTACCAGTACACACACACACTTACACATAAATAACCTTGCAAAAGAGGGCAGGCAGCATGGCTGAGTTCAAACCTCAGTACCACCAAAACAAAACAAGTTATATTTAAAAAAAAATAAAAGCTGCTTTTGGTAATTCCATTAAATCTTTAAAGAACATATAATTTAAATACTATTTACATTGCTTCAGAGAATAGGAAAAATAAATCTTTCAATTTGCCTCTATGAAGCAAGTACTGGTATCCAAAAGCTGTAAAGTTTGCTCAAAAAAAAAATCAATCTCAGTTGTGTTAAAAAGAAATTGCTCAACAGAGTATTAGCAAAAGGAATTGAACAACACACTAAAGAGTACACAATATGAGCAAACGCACTTCACAACTGCAACAGAGTTTAATTTTACACAACCTAGTAATATAATAAACCTAAAGCAAAAACCATATGACTGTCTCCATGTATGTTGAAGAGGTATGTAACAAAATGCAACTCAGTATTACTTCTGGAGAGGGGTGAATACACATTGTCAGCTGGGTCAACAGCATGATGTAAGGCTCCAGTGTCTTTACCCAATCTAAGTGTATTCCTCACTCCAACTCCACTGAAGGCAGCCTGGGCCTTGCTCTATGGTGCTCTCCCGCAGAACCCAGGCTGAAGGAGCCCACTATCAGGGCCATGCCTACTCTCCAGGCAGGAGGAAGGATAATTTCCAAGCTGGCTCTTAAAGATATTGGCCCAGAAGGGACCCAAAGCACAATATTCCTGGTGCATTGACCAAACCAAACTCTAAGTGGGCAGGGAAGAATGTCCTATTATTTATCAGGAAGGGAAAAAAATAGTAATCAACAGTACCAATGACCATTATCTAAACTAACCCACAGGCCAGGATCAGGGCCAAAGGAAAACTACAGAAGTACTTCCATGAAAGTCAGGCACACAGCAACGACATCTCCAAGCACCACAACACCTAACACTGTTCTGTATGCACAACCAACACAATCAGACAAAAGGACTTAGGGGGTAGAGTTCATGGCATGTAGATGTAAAACACAGAGCAGACACATGAAGAAAATCAACTGAAAATTATTATGAGTAGTCAATGGATAAAAGAAAATAGCTGAAAGCCAGGTGCTGGTGATTCACACCTGTAACACTAGCTACTCAGAAGGCTGAGATCTGAGTTTTGCAGCTTGAAGCCAGACTGGCAGGAAAGTCCGTGAGACTCTTATCTCCTATTAACCACCAAAAAAAAAAAACAACTGGAAATGGAGCTGTGACTCTAAGTGGTAGAGCACTAGCCTTGAGCAAAAAGAGCCTGGGGAGAGCACCCAGGCCTTGAGCTCAAGCCCCACAAACAAACAAACAAACAAAAGACAAAATTACAAAGCTATCAAGCACTTATGGAACAGTTACAAGATGAAAAACTTGAGACTGACTCATTCTGCATGGCAAACCAGAACAAATTCCATATACACCCTAAAGGAGCCAGAAACACTGGAGACATTGTTTTTTGTGTTTTTTGTTGTTCTGTTGTTTTTTTTGGGTCCGGTCGTGGGCCTAACCTCTGGGCCTGGGCACTGTCCCTCAGCTCTTCTCCTCAAAGCTAGCTCTCTACCACTTGAGCCACAGCGCCACTTCCGTCTTTTTTTTTTTCTCTTTTTTTTCCTGCTTATGTGGTGCTGAGGAATCAAACCCAGGGCCTCATAAATGCATGGCAAGCATTCTACCACTGAGCTACCTTCCCATCCCTGGAGACATTGTTTTATAATGTGGGAATATGAGGCCCAACCTTGACATCAAACCTGAAGCCCTAAAATAAAAACTGATCTATCTTTAAATATGCAGATTTATGAAATTTCCACATGGCAAAACATGATGAACCAAGTTAAAAGAAACGAGAAGGAAGTAATATTTGCAATTTATCTCACAAAGAACTAAGGTATGAAGCGTACTGACAAATAACTAAGAACTAACAACTTAATGGAAACACAGGAAGGAAAGGAACAGATGAAATTCACAGAAAATAAGTGGTATAAATGCATGACACGAATTCCAGCCTCAACCCCATTCAAAAGTAAGAGTTAAGAAAGCATCCTAAAACCCCAGTTTTTAACTACAGGATTGGCAAAAATTAAAGATCTTGATAAACAGCAGGCAAAGCTATGGGGCAAGAGATTCCTGTCAGCTGGGCAAACGAAGGTCCTCAGAGCTCTGTAGTGACTCTCAGCAGTGCTGTCTCACAAACAGCCCTGTAACCCCACATGCTTCTATGAATGAGTCCTAAAGTCAGTTACAAACGTGCAGGTAGTGTATGCAGTTATTTATCTACTGCAGTGTTATCGGTAACAGAAGACAGTAAGGACAAACTAAGTTCTCACGAGGGATAAAATAAATCACCCTATATAGGTACCATAAAAGGCCAATAGGGTTAGCCGGGCATGGTGGCACACTCCTGCAGTCCCAGCACTTGGAGGGAGGAGAATTGCAAGTTGTACTCCAGCAAACTTACATAATAAAACCCTGTTTCAAAAGACAGAAACAAAGCTAGGAACCAGTGGCTCACTGTCATCCTAGTTATTCAGGAAGCTGAGAGCTGAGGATCGTGGATCAAAGCCAGCCCAGGGAAGTGACTCATCTCCAACTAACCCCCAGAAAACCAGAAGTGGCACTATGGCTCAAAGTGGTAGGGCACTAGCCTTGAGCAAAATAGCCCAGCCTCGTGACTTAAAAAAAAAAAGGGGGGGGGGAGGGCTGGGAAGGTGGCTCAGTGGTAGAGCGCTTACATGCCTGAGGCCCTGGGTTCCATTCTCCAGCACCACATAAGCAAAAAGAAAAAAGCCGGAAGTGGTGCTGTGGCTCAAGTGGTAGAGCGCTAGCCTTGAGCTGAAGAGCTGAGGGACAGCGCCCAGGCCCAGAGTTCAGGCCCCATGACCGGACCCCCCCCCAAAAAAAAACAAACAAACAACCACAACCAACAAAAGAGTATTAACATTTTTTATGTTGGCACACACAGTCAAAGTAAGCGTAAAACACAAAATGTG